TGTCTACATGAAGTTACCAATTCATTTCTGTTATTTAATGTGCCTAATTTTGGTTTACAAATTATGAAATACTTTTCCATCAGGCACAGATTACACTTTTTTGTCTTGTTGTGGCTTGTAATTATCTGTTTCATATTAGGCATACAACTGTAGCTTAATTTCAAATTGTTCCGGTTAAATATTTTTCTGAGTGGGTGGTTTTAAGGGAATGATGAATCAATGATAGATAGGAATTTATGGCCTATGTTGGTTGAAACATTGTCGCTATACGGTGGGTTGAACCAGATGATTTTACGTTGTCGATTTCGACTGTTTTGGTTTCCTTTGCGGGTTGGTTCAAATTTGAGCTTGTGGTCATATCCGCTCTGTCTGAGTGCTTCTTGGTATGGTGGTATGGATATTAAAAACGTCTTCACTTGATGATATATTAGAGAGTCGTTTATTTATTGCCTCTGGTATATTGCGTATTATTGCAGGCGGGTGGTTGCTTTGGTTGTGCACATAGAGTGGCGTGTTGTTGGGTTTCATAAATGGCTTAAATGATTCCTCGTTGAGATTAAGGGTGATGTCTAAGTAGTCTATGACTTTTGAGTTGGCTTCGATGGTGATTTTTAGTTTGTGCTTACCGAATGTTTTGCATATATCCTTCTTTATTTGCTCAATTCGTTTGGGTGTTTCGTTAAAAGTCGCAAGGCCATCATCTCGGTATAATCCGACGGATGATCCATATTTGGGTTTTATTTCGGCTAGTATAAATAGGCCTATTAGTTCACACGTCTCGGCTCCATCATAGCTTCCCATTGTTACATCAAATTGTGAGTTTGAGTTTCGTTTGCACCATGGTGTTTCTTTGTTGAATAGCAGTGATTTCTTGGCTTGTAGAATTATATCTATTTCTTGTTCTGTGATGTTGTCGTGTTGAGAAGCAAAATTCAGGGCTTTCTTTAGCAGTTCTTCAGTTATAGATGGGTAAAAATCACAAATATCAAAGCAGATGAAAGAATGTTCCGGTTTATTTTGAATGTTTTTAAACCATTCGATGACATCGTTAGTGTTCAAGTGTGTGTTTGCCATGATTTTTTTGTTTATTCTTTGGAGTATTTTTTGCTGATTAATCCAATTTCTGATTTTGACGGGTTGATAAGTCTGCACGCAGGTTTATTTCTGAAATTTGGTTTGTGGTCCTTTAGGGTTAATAATGCGTCGTTCTTTGCTGTTGTGTCTATCCGGTTAGTTAAATCAAGATTGTCGGCTATGCGTTTGTCTTCTTTAGTGATTCTGGATTCAATGTTCACAGGTGTTTTTTTTATAGGATTTAGTGATATTATCTTCTAGTAATTTGTTATACGTTGGTGGGTCGAGGCGGTAAAAAATTGGTAGTCTTGTCGGCTGCTACAAATAATTTGTTGTCCTGTTTTATCTTCTTGGCATCTTGGGCGAACAATTCTTACATAACCGTGATACAAACAAGTTAATTATCGATGACCTTAGTTGTATGATTATACAATAAGCCTATATTAATTTTTTTTTTAAAAGTCATTTCGTCATTTACAAATTTCTACTGCAAAGAGGATATAGCGAAAATTGCCCGATTAAGCTAAGAACTCAAGAACAGACGCAAAATCAAGCTCCCATAACCTATAAACACGCATCACTTTAATTATACGCAAAAACATTTCCGTCCGGATCAACATTTAGCCTATTCCCGACGTCTTCTGTAATTTAAATACATAATTATACAATTAATATAATACTTTTATTTTCAAGCTTGTATAAGAGTATAACTCTGATTCAGTCCTTCTGTTTCACATTTGTTTTTGTCCTGTAGATGATACCGGCAACGACCACGAGTACGAAGACCCACGTACTCAAGACGAGAAGATAAAAGACAGAAAAATATACGAAGGTAAACAAAAATCTACCAGTTCTTTTAAAAAGCTGCCAAATTCTGACCTTACTTTAACAATTTTTTAAATATAATTATTTACGTTGGTCTGGATGGTCGTATATCTACATTAGTTGTCTTATTAAATTGAAATTGGTTTTGTTTGGTTTTGATTTTCGCATTTGCTTGTTGTGTCACTTTCATTTTTATATGCAATTAAATATGTAGTTAAAACGTAGATAGTTTTTAGCTTTTATGTTTTTGTATTTAATTTAATTCGGTATTTTACTACAAAATGTAACGAAAATATGGATGAATGAACGAACGAGTTAACAAATGTATGAATTAATGAACGAATGGATGAATGAAAGAACGAAAGATCGAACGAATGAGCGAATTATGAATGAATGAATGGATGAATGAATGAGTGAATGAATGAATAAACGAATGAATGAAAGAGCAAATGAACGAGCGAATGAGCGAGGAATGAATGAATTACGTAAATAGCGTAACAATGAATGTAAACTTACTAATAACAAGACACCACTGAGCCTATGAACAATTACCATTCAGGTAATATTGTAAGATTATACTTCCGGTACGAAAATACGTTAATAGGAATTAACTTATCTAATTCTACTTGTTCGTTCATACTTTAGAAATGTCAGGCCACCAAATGTATAGCAATGAAAAGATATCTACAGACCAGCAGTCTGAAGACAGCATTGCGAGCAACATCTTTAACGATAAAGAAGAGAAAAAAAGATACAGTAAAAATACAGATTCAAACAAAGTAAAAAGAGGTGTATTTAGAAAATCAACAAGGCAAATCGATGATGCAAATATTTACGACATTCCGAGTTCAATATTTAAGAAGCTGACACTGAGGCGAAACAAGACCGACCGGAAAGGTAAATCACTGTTAGTGTTATAATCAGTACTGCAATGCGTAGTAGGGGCCTACCCCACAGAATGTCATTTAACAGCTGACGTACCAATCAGGACAGCCCTTTTCCGGTATTGTCGGACAAAAGGTTTCTTATTTCTTTTTAATAAATAAAAGTCGCTACACACTATCGCCCACTCATTTGATGACGCTGATTGGTCAGTTGAATCCGGGAACGTTCGTTCCTGATTGGGTGGGGGACAGCACGAAGGACTTCGAAAATGAAAATAATTAATAAACAAATAAAGAACTAAGGAATTACAGTTAAGAGAGGCTTATATATTTCTATCAATAAAGTAGGCCCGTTTTGACGTACCTTACTCGCGCGAATAAGCGCCCGTTTGAATAAACGCCCCTCTCGAATAACCGCCCATCCTAACGTGAAAATTTCCTTAAGCGCCCCGTTTGAATAAGCTCCCCATTCTAATTTGAATAAGCGCCCCGATCAATAATATTTATATAAGATTTTATTTTTAGCAAGTCAATAATCCAATCAATCCTGGACTGTGGTTGTTAGCATAATTTGAGCTGAAGAGTGGAACCCATTCTTTTTTAGGTCAATATCAAAATGAGGATCTTGGACAGATGAGAGCTCCGATCCCTGGACAGACAGTATATTCCCAACTTTACACTTTTTACATATTTTTCTATGCTCTTTTTCTTCAAGCTTAAAACCACTACCCACCACCATTAATTACATCTGCTATTTTGCTGTTATGTAAATATTTACGCATTCTTGTCATGAGCCGGCCATGTTCTCTGGAGGATTATTTTTTCCGCCTAACCACCATTCGTAATGTACTTTTCATTCAAAAAGTGTCTCTTGAATTTAATGATTTTCCATAAGAACCCCTCGATTTTCATCTATTTCCATAAGCGCCCCCTCAATTTCCACTCTGTTTTCATAAGCGCCCCGTTTGAATAAGCGCCCCTCAGCGCCCGGGCGCTTAAGGTCAACTCAGACAGCGTCGTACGACGCAGCCAGACGCGATTTGTTGTCGCGTCGGGTCTGTGTGAGTTAAACGCAGACGCGATGGTGTGCATCGGGGGCAGTCGCGTCGTAGAATATTAAACATGTTTAATATTTCTCACGACGGCTTAAGACTGTCCCCGACGATAAATCGGGTCGGGCTGCGTCGGCCGACGCTGTCTGAGTTGGCCTTTATTCCCGCGAGTACGGTATCCTGTCTCCATTATTAATTTAATTGTGTAGGCTGCTTATTATTGGCGTCAACAAAGACCTCAATTCGGTTCGTTATTTCGTTTTCATCGTATTCCGTTTCTTGTACTGTAGATGCGACTTTAAGAAGCATGGCTAACAAGTCCGATTTGAAGACAAGTGAAGAACAACGGTCCGAACAAAGTGCTGATATCATTAACAACGCTAACACTAAAGAACCATGTACTTCTGACATCAAAGCGGAAAAAATAAAATATAGTAAAAAATCAGATAATCCGCAAAACGTAAAGAGTGGTATATTTAAAAATCCAAAACGACAAATAGATGACGAAAATATATACGATGTTCCTAGTTCAATATTTAAGAAGTTGACGTTGAGGCGAAACAAGGCCGACAAAAAAATTGAAAGTTAGTACGGTACATGTTGATTATGACTATCCTAAATCATAAGCGTATTATACCGCTTGCACCTACACATATTTTAATTACAGTGCTCTTTAACAATCCACTGTTCATACAAAATACCAACTTATTGGCGTGGTGAAGCAATATACCTACATATAAAGATTATGTAATTTATAATATGGATCAATTATTTTTAAAATGGGGATTATTGCATGTTGGCTACGGTATTAAACATTCTAGTCGATATTGTCTCTGATAAGATAGTATAATATAATAGCATTATTATATAGTATATATAATACATACTCCAGGTATCGAAATGCACGCCATCGTGTCGCGATTCAATATTCCGACATCAATTATGTCATCACCAGGAATGATATTGTCTCTCATTCTTGTGTTTCTCGTTCTCGTTTCTCTAGGTACTAATTCAAGCAGTCCGGACGAAAATATATACGATATTCCAAGGTCACTATTTAAGAAGTTGACGCTGAGTAGAAAGAAGCGGGCCGACCGAAAAAGTAAAAGTTAGTATATAATAAATAACTTTACCACTACCCATTGACTTATTTAAGACTATTTTTAACAGAACATCACAGAATAAGTTGTTTAATCTTTACAAAACACATACCAATCACTCATCTAACTAAAGCTAGGCCCACAATTAGTTATAGAAAATATGATGGTTACTAATTTTATTAATAGGCCCTAATGAAGATTGTACCGTAGTCAACATTAAGTTAATATCGGTATTATTTTTCTTGATTTGTTCCCTGTAGATATAACAAATTCAGTAAGCATGGGTGACCAAGAGTCCGAACAAAGTATCGACATGATCAGCAACGTCTCTCAGAATGAATCGTGCAGGCCTGTTACCGACATCCATAGTAAAGAGGAAGAAAGACGCTATAGGTCTAATACACATTCAGATGATTCACAAACAGTTAAAAAAAGTATATTCAAAAAAACAAAACGACAAACTGAAGAAGAAAATATATACGATATTCCGAGTTCAATATTCAAGAAGTTAACGCTGAGAAGAAACAAGCCAGATCAAGAAAATAAAAGTTAGTATAACTACGAATCAATCCTTATTCTTCTTTTTACATATTGTATATATTGTAACACATGTCAATGAAGGAAAATAAATGTTAGTTTGAATTGAACTGAATTAAATTGAACCTTACACATGTAGGCCTATATATTTTTGATAGATCGAAAGTAACAAAGTTCGAGCCACAGACGTGACAGACATACAAATTATTAAAGGTTAACTCATAGGCTATTATTATTATTATTATTATTATTATTATTATTATTATTATTATTATTATTATTATTATTATTTATTATTATTATTTTACTCATTTTAATAATTATGACGAATGTACCGTATTATTATTATTATTATTATTATTATTATTATTATTATTATTACTATTATTATTATTGAACTGAATTGAATTGAATCTTACACATGTATATATTTTTGATAGATCGAAAATAACAAAGTTCCAGCGTACAGACGTGACAAACATACAAATTAATAAAGGTTAACTCATAGGCTATTATTATTATTATTATTATTTATTTATATTATTATTATTATCATTATTATTATAATTATTATATTACTCATTTTAATAACTATGACGAAATTAGTGTATTATTATTATTATTATTATTATTATTATTATTATTATTATTGTGACTATTTCATATCGATACTATCTGTCTCTTTTTGTTTCGTTTTCTGTACTTTAGAAGCAACTTTAAGAAGCGTGTGTGATATGAAGGATGCAGTGACTAATGAGGATCAACATTCAAGCGTTGATATTGTTAAAACCTCTCACGAAGGACCATGTACTTCAGACAACCATGGGAAAGAGGAGAAAACAAGCTATAGTAAAAAGACAGACGGTTCAAATAAAGTAAAGCCAAACATACTTCCAAAACCAAAAAGAAAAACTAGGCCTAGTTCAGTTTTCAAAAAGTTGACGCTAAAAAGAAAACATGCTGAACAGAAAGAAGTTAAAAATGAATGACATATTACTGATAACAGACTATTCGAAGAGATGGATATCGATGTGAACTTGAAAACAGTTTTCAGTAAAATAGTAGACGCTTTCTTAAAGTGTTACAGTGTATCACTAAAAATGTATATCGATTTTAGAAATAGATGCGTTTGATAAGTTTGCTGGCAGTCTAAAGTAAAAGTAACTGGTTTAAGGCTTCGGAGGAAAACTTTTTTTGATTGTACAACTGATCTGTCTAAAGCTTTGTCTACACTATCAAATTTCATCAAAAAAAAAAGCGTCACATAAAATTTGATAGAACATAGTTGAACACGTTCAACTTTTTTTGATACAATGTGATGATATGTGATATGACGTGATGATATGTGACGTCATCGTACCCATATATGGTCACATTTTTTTTCAAACAAACATTTTAAGTCTTAGAAAAATAAATTGTAAGCCTACAACATATATTTGCTCCCTCCGGAGGCTCTCTCAACTTTAATTTATATGCTACAACATCTGTTCATTTGAAGAGGCTTTGATTGTCTCATAGGCACATGCGATTGCTTTCATAACACCCACCCCCACCCCTCCCCCACTTTCTGGACCCGCCAATGGGTTTTGTTTTTATATAGTTATTTCTAAACATTAATGTTTTACAATTAATAAAAAATATTATTGTCCACTTTTTAAATGTTTTTAAGGGACATCCCGAAACTTAATTGGCTATCTTTTGCAACAAGTGACGTAATCGAAATCTTGATAGTTGTTTTACTCGATATAATTGATGTCCTGGTTTTGAAATAGATCTATTTTAAAATCTTTATTAGCTTCTACTACTTTACAAAAATATTCAAATTAATTGTAATTTGAATGATTGTGAATTGCAGTGTATTACTGTATAAAATAAATAGTTCAGACGCGTTCATAAAAAATTGTAATAATTTTTCGCATGATAATAATGGCAATAATAATATAGGTCTCCCTCTAATATAAAGACCTCTTCAATTTAGGAACACTTTTCTGTGGTCCTAAATTAACATAATTATGTCTTCTTTATTATTGTAATTAGAGACCAAAGCTGTTAAGGACCATGGAACCCCTGGTTGTCTTTAGTTGGAGGGAGACCTGTAACATAGGCCTAGATTCTTTAAGGTTGTTTACTATATTTATTCGAATAAACGCCCTCGGCCTTTTTTTTTTTGGTGTTTTATTCGAGGGAAGCGTTTTTAATTTTTTTTTGTGTGAAATAGATACGTATACGCAAATACACGTTCCCGGAAATTTCAATGTAATACAATACAAAATTACAGACAAAAGACTATAGCTGAGTGTTTGGCCGAGTCCCCAGAGTCCCAGCTGAATTTCTAATTCCAAATTTGGCATAATGACAAAATAAAAACAAAAATAAATGAATACATAAAAAATGTGATAATGCTCCGGGGAGTTTATTCGAGGGAGGAGTTTGGGCTCAGAGAGGGCATTTATTCTAGGGGTTTATATATTTAAAGCGGAGCGTTTATTCGAATAAATAAGGTGTTGCTTTTATATTGTTATGCTCTTTGTGATACAAACTATTTCATTTTCAGCACTGTTTTCTGATTGTTGCTGTAGCCTGTATGTCTTTTATACCTGAATAAATAATAATAACAAAAATAAGATGATTTGTTTTTTTAAATTACGTCCATAATTTTGTTAATCTTGTTTATACTCAACTAGCTAAGGAATTGGTTATTAACTATTAACTTAATTTTGGATGAATAACATTTCCGCTCTCAGGTATACCAGACACGTAAATAAAACGTTCATGTAGGGCCTTTCTGCACCTATAAATCGGCTAGATCACAATATTTTTATTTGTACAGGTAGTAGAATGTCTGTATACTAGAAACCTGATTTTAGATTTCTGGTTGAAAGTTAATGTGTTAAAATGCACTGCCTCAAATTTCAATAGAAATTTTGAATAACTGAATAATAATAACTTCCTACCAGAAACAGATCGAAAAAGAAATATTTTTCGATAATTTACAAACATTTTACTACTCTTAATACTACACTTAATGTAATGTTAAAATACCATGTCTGGTCATCTCGACAATCATCATTCGTTTTAAATGAAATTATAATACAACAAACAATTGAACCGCTTCTCCTGTATGGACCATTACGGAGCCCCTAACTAAAAGGGACATGGTTAGAAAAAGTATTAAATTATTTCGAGGGAATCCCTCCTCCAAATATCATTTCGTTCCCTCAAAATATAATTTCGTTCTCTCGAAATAGTTTAATATTTTATCTAACCATGTCCCCTACCGTAGACCATGGACATGTTGAAAAAATAATCATCATCATCATCGGCCGGTCTGTCAGGCACTGTCGGCCGATGACCTCCTCTAACTCCATTCATATAGACTTTCACAGACCTTTTACTATACGCTACTTTTATTCTCTGGTTAGTAATAAATATTTTTTACTTAAACAAATTTACTAGAACCAGATAAACCAAGTAAGTACTGTACTAAAGTAAGTACAGTCCAAAATTGTTCATCTTTTTGCCATTTTTACATCTTCATTTTGTTTATATAAAATATAATAAATTGTTTCGATCTTATCAAATTGACTTACGGCGAATAAAAACATTCACAAACATAAACTCATTATTGTTTACGATAATCAAAAGGCGTTAGTGTTGTGCAGTGGTGTGTAGTATGTATGCGGTAAAGGTTTTGTGTGCGTTGCAACGCGTTGGCGCGTTTCAGTGAAAAACATAGCAGCCTAGTACAGTACTTACGAACAAACAGGATTTGAGCTTCAGGAATTAGTACTGGGGGACGAGCCGCACACGACACACACGTACGTACGCACAGTTAAAAACGCCGGTTCGGCAAACGAAAATGGAATTATATTACGACGAAGGAAATCATTTAGCACTAAAAGCTGCCATTGCATTTCATGTGGGTGAATCCCAACTGTGTGTTAAATGGAAAATTGTAAATTCCTCAGGTGAGCTGTCTAAGCTAGGGCTAGGCTAAGCTAATTAAGAAGGAACCGCCGCTGCTGGGTATAGGGCCTAGGCCTAGATATCCTTTAGGCCTAATGGTGCTTTCCCTAGCTAGGGCCTTGGCTTTTAGGCTAGCTAGGCTGGGCTATTGCCTAAGCACATTTGACTCTTGCATCATTCGCTGCAACAAGAGATCTAGGCCTAGAGAATTACTGTTCCTCAACTTGGTTTTTAACAACTCACTCAACAAGATGGATCAACCTGAGGCTTCTAAAAAGCCTTTTTTTTTCACAGCTTTCATTGGGGAACAGGTCAAAACAGCAAAAAACCAAAATGAATGGTAATAAGTTAAAACGGCAATGACCAAAGCGGCAAAAAAATCAAAATGACAACACTTTTAGACCAGAACGGCAATGGACCAAAATGGCAATAAGTCAAAACGGTAATAAATCAAAACGACAATAAACCAAAACGGCAATAAACCAAAACGGCAACACTTCCAGAATGACATACTGTATGGTAATTGGCAAAGCTAAATAAAATCAACAATAGTTAGCTTCAAACGCCTTTTTTTAAATTAAAAGTTTATTGAAAGTAACGTTCCATAGGCGTTCCTTTAAAGACCCCTCTTGATTTCGCACCTTATTCATGAACTTTAATTAAGGTGCTGTTAACTCGTATTTACTGTACCTCGCTTTGATGGTTTTATTTTTACTGCTGTTACTACAGAACAACATTAAAAAGTACAACTCAAATAAAATTAACAGACCATTCTAATTGAATATTTAGTTTGGATACCATCAATTCAGTTTATTTCTCATCATCAAAACATTGTACAAAACAGATAAAATTCGCACAAGGCAGGACAAAAAATATTACAATAAAAGATGATGCAAGGATGGTCTATGAAAGTTTTCTAAAAAAGAAGTATTCCAATTGGGCACTACATAAAACCAATTAAAAACATGAAAGTGTACAACGATAAATACAGTGAAAATGAGGCTAAATTGTCATAGAACTTTCAAGTAAAAAATGCAAAAGAACATCATTATTATTAATAATAATAATAATGAATAATAATGATAATAATAATAGTATAACATACAAATTCAATAGTAAAAAGATTGGGGAATCACAATTTATAAGCATTAAACATTTAAATAATTAAAACTTTAAAATACAGACAAAATGAGGCTAAACGATTTATGTTATAAAAGTAAAAGCGCGCGAAAGAAAAAAAAAACACTTTAAAGGTTAACAACATTAATAATAATAATAATAATAATAATAATAAGTTCTAGAAATAAAAATAATAATAATATAAATAACACTTTAAAATAGTGAAATACTGTAATTCGGTATGGATGTGTAAAAAAAAAACAAATCATAAAATTATAGACTGCTGCCCGAGCCCGGTGGCGCTGCAGTCTTGGCATTGATTTTTGCTCCTTTGGGGTTTTGGTCTATGCCTATTGCCGTTTTGGTAGTTGACATTGCCGTTTTGGTCTGTTGCCATTTTGGTACTTATCATTGCCGTTTTGGTTTATTGCCGTTTTGGTCATTGCCATTTTGGTCATTGCCGTTTTGGTTTTTTGCCGTTTTGTCCAGAACATTTCATTGTATTTTAAAACTAGGCCTAGGGGACCTAGGCTAACTTTTTTTTTTCATTTTCATCACTGTGAATTCCACTTTTAAACATCTAGATGTGTATAAGAGACAGTATAAACACATTCAAACACTTACTGTATATGACGCAAATTTTCAGTCCGCCTGGACCCTCTTCTGGCGTAGTCCAATCCTCATCTGAATCAATCGGTTTGTAACTCTGTTTCCGCATAAAATGTTACATAACACTATATGGAGTAGTGGTTATTCATGAGTATGCTAAATAACTCATGACATTATACCACTGTTCCTTTATATTATAGGTTATGATAGAATTCAATACAAATGTATAGACATAGAAAAACGTCAACATAAATAGAGAAGATACACACAATAATAATACATAGCCACAAGGTATATATTTAAACTTGGGAGTGTCCCCTACTGCGAGGGAGCTGCATGTTCCCCCACTCTTCTTTTTTATTGATGTTGGGATTATGTATTTCAATTTTCTCAGCCTCCGTCACTTGTTGTATCATCGGGTTTCCTGCATGTTTACTGGATTTTGACCATTACAGTAACTCCTTCATTTCCCCTTTGTGCTCCTCTTTCATGTGCTGATAAAACACCTAAGTTCTCTTTTTTTCTAAAATGCCTTTGGGGTAATGGCGAATGTCTCCGACCGCCGGTCGCGCACTTTTTCTTGTCCTGTAAAGCAGATCTCTCGGAAGTGGTTTAGGAACATCTAACTTGGGATTCCTGGCTTTTCATGGTCAGCTAGCAAAATTGTTCATTTGTTGAATCCAAATCATTAATTTCATTCTAAACTCTATTTCTAAACTATAAAGTAACTGCTTATGGAGTTCATTTAGTTTGTAAATTTTCCATGTAATTTTGTTTCATTTTTTATTTAATTTCTTTGTTTTTTCATTGTAAAGGTATTTTTTGAGCAAGTCAGGGAATGATTCAGATGATGTTAAAGTAACTGAATGGTTAGAATGGGAGTCCAGTCAATTGCAGGTGCTGCTACTGTATAGTTAGTTGTACAATATTTATAATCTTGTATTTTTAATTAGTTCATTAAAAGAAATGAGAATGTTTTGTATTTTGTTATTGATTTGTTGTAAATTTGATGGATTATTTGTTAAAACCATGTACTGAAAATGTCATCATATTTCATCCTAATTGTTTAAACTCGGGAACATAATAGGTGACATAATTATCAGAAAACAGTGGTGAATCCAGGAATTTGAATTTAGAGGGGCCATCTAGGAACTTTGACAGATGGATGGTCTGTACCGCCTCAGCCTCACCATGAAAATTTATGATTATGTCACCTCCAGATGGCTGGAAATGGCACTCTCAGACTTAAAAAAAATTTAAATGTATTTTCCCTTTTTTCTCCAATTTTTTACAATTTCAACAAATTTAGGGGGAGCCCAGGCCGGATGGGTTCCCCCCCCCTCCTTGAATCCGCCACTGGTAAATTGATAAGATGTGCCTTTCTGATGACCATGTGCCTTTGTATGAAAGATGGCTAGCCTTAATGTTTATAACTATTAAAAAAATTAAGTTCTAAATGTAATGCAATGTGATAGTATTAGCTAATAGCACCTTATAATTCTTATGTTGTTATTTTATTATTATTTTAAGTGATTGATAATGAAATGATTTGATTGCCTCCATAGCCTGTTCTAGGCCCCGTCATTGCTACAGCTGCTACAAAAGAAAAAGTCAACTCAGACCCTTTGAAAACCCACCTAGCGCACATTAACTTGGCCTTGAAAGATAAATCATTTTTTGTTGGTGTAAGTTATTAAAAAAAAAATTTACGATATTGTTTTTTTTTTTTTTGGTGCACATTAACTTAACTATGAAAGAAAAATCATTTTTTGTTGGTGAAAGTTATTTAAAAAAAATTTGATATTTTTAATTTTTTTAATTTTTTTCTTTATTTTATTCTATTCTATATTTTGTATTGTGTATTAGTATGGAAATGGGTGGTCCCCATTAGGTGAAATCTTTTTACAGAACCCAGTGATTCAGTCATTGATTTATTAATCCATCCATTCATTCATTTTTTTTTTCATTCATTTTAAAAATTACATTCATTCATTTTTTTTTTCATTCATTTTAAAAATTACATTCATTCCATTCAATCATATCATTTATTCCATTTATTCTATCCAGTCATTCCATTCCACTCTTTCCATTCATTCTATTCATTTAATTTATTCCACTTCATTTAAATCTATTCCATTAATTTAATTCTTTCATTCTGTTCATTTTTACTCTTAATTTATTTATCTTATTGTTTTTGGATATGCTATTCATCTAGTTCATTATTTGCAAACCTTCTTTCATTCAATTTTGTTATTGATCCATCCATTTGAACTGGCTGTAAGAAAGCTGACTCGTGTCCATAAATCAGGTTGATATGCCTTTTTTTTTTGTTTCTTCCAGTCTGAATTATCAGCAGCAGATATTGTACTCTGGTCAGCAATATATCCATTAATTGCTGAGAATTCCTCGCTCAAATTGTTGTATTCCAACTTGGCTGCCTGGTTTGATAAGCTATCCCAGCATCCTGCATTCCAATCTGCTGTTTCTATGGTAACAAATGGCAAAGGTGTAGCAGCATGCAAAGCATCTATTCAAGCTCAACCACTGGTCCGTCCAGTGACTACCAAGAAGAAAGTTGTAGAGGAGGATGTTGATTCTTCTAAGGTATTTATGCGCTAATTGCAGTTGGTGGCAGGGCTTTTTTTGGAGAGCTTCAAATTAATCCTATATTTCTTAAAGACTACAACTCCTCTCAATCTTGTTATTTTAAAACAATTAGATTTAAATATTGATAAATGTTTAATTTTGCTTAGGTTTCAGATGATGAGAGAGATTTGATAATTGCAGACTGGCTCCATGGCAAAGACAACCTTCCTAAGCATTCAATCAAAGACAAGCCCATGTAGGTGGTATACTTAATATGGAGGACATTATTAGGGACCTCAATCTCAAGACTTGTCTTGGTCATTGTAGTTCATTAATGTTTGCTAATAATGATTTAATGTTTTTTTAAAGTTTCACTACCAGTCTCTAATAATTCTCCTTGATCATTTTGATATGCCATTGGTTCTTTGTGCAATATGGCCTAAGTGCATGTTAAAGAATGCAATGCATAATATTTAACATACACAGTGGGGTGTAGTTTACCAATATACTGTCCAATTAAACCCTGAATGACCCACTAGAAATAAGTGGTTGGAATTTCCTCGAGTATCCTTGAAGTATTTCACGTTAAAGCCATCCAAATTCAATCTTAATCAAAGCAAAAATAAAATAATGGTAATATCAACAGATAAGTATTGTTAAATGTATGTGAAAAATGACAACTTTGAAGCCATAGTTGTTTTAAAATTTCATTCCCTTTATAATTTTGTTTTCATAACAACAATGATAATGTTAATGATCAAATACTCATGATAGTGCTGTAATCTTCTATTCAAAAGTTGGCTGTCATTGGTTGACACTTTCATATTGTAGTCTTTAGTTCAGTTTATTTTTATATTAACACTAAGATCTACGTTTTTGGTTGGCATAGAGTTAACATACACTTTCAACGCAGTGAGACCAGCCAATTGTGCTTAATCATTGTTAAATTTCTTTTACTTTCCCCAGAAATTTTCACTTCCTGATTATTTTAATATGAATCAGATGTACAAACCAAATTACAGTATTCATAATTAGTGTATATCTTAAAATTAACACGCTAAAATGTATATTAATTTACTAAGTAATTACAGTACATTACTTTTTTTCAGTATCCCGGTGAAAGGTGAACGTAATGTGTTAATCACCAGTGCCCTTCCATACGTTAACAACGTCCCACATCTTGGAAACATTATAGGATGTGTTTTAAGTGCCGATGTTTTTTCCAGGTAATTTGCCATTACCTCATTATTAAGCTACGTTCACATCAAGCCGGGATTCCAATCCGGACTCTGGATCCAGACCAATGAATCTGAGAGCCATTTGTTTCCTGAAATCGTAGGTTTTTTTTCGTGGACCAATCAGCAACAAGCTTGGTTGGTTTGAACCAATCGAACGCACGCATACTTAAACCGAACAACCGTGAACGCAGCGTTAAAAAAATGTAGCAACTCACGATTTTTGGTCCGGGCTCTGGACCGGATCTGGGCTTGATGTGAATGTAGCTTTATCCTTCATACTTAGATGTATAGACTAGAAAAAAAATCTGAAAAAAATGAGTTAGGGGGAGTGGAATGTTAGAAGCAATCCACATAGCCAGATATCCTAATTAGGCTTTTCTTTTTCCATCTTCATTTCAGAGGTCAAAAACATTTTTCAATTTTTATTCAATCATATAGTGGTGTAGACTAGTCTTTTAAGAACATTTTGCTTGAAAAATTTTTTGGATACGACGCCCCGTTATTGAGTTATGATTTCTTAAACAACATGATGTCAGAAAATCCACCCAAAAGCTTATCTTATTTCTGTTGGTTACGCACTGCTGATTCGCAATGTTTGTCATCACTTAACAAAGTCTACCGATTCGTGAAAAAGGCCTATTACACACTTCCAACCTTCAAAAGCATTATGGGTAATGTGTCGTCATACCTCCCCCGACCACCCAGTGAGATAACCATTTTGTTTTTATAGAAAAAATTGAACAACATGGACAAATCAATTTAGCTTGGCCAAAAAAATAACTGGTATTTTTTCAAATTGAACAGAAACAAGCCCATAGTCTATTTTTACTGCTCTGTTCTCCAGCACTTTGACACTCCCATAATTTAGAGCTCACCGGAACAGAACTCACAGGAGCTGGAGTGAAAATGGCGTCTGACTATCCTATCCTAACAAAAAAAGAAAAAAAAAATTCCAGTTTTATAACTTTTTGACTACAAGAATCATTATATTGGCTAGTGATCTCTAAACGAAGAGTATTGGTATTGTATAATACCAATTATATTATTGGGGAGGAAATATTAATTTGATCTTTATTACAGTAAAAGAAATTGAGATATTGAATTTTACTCTTCAAGCTCAAGACAGAAGATAATTGTTGAACTTGCTTCTTCCCTATTTTCAGATACTGCAATCTTCGTGGCTACAACACTTTGTACATCTGTGGTACAGATGAATACGGTACAGCCACGGAAACCAAAGCACTTGAGGAAAAATTAACACCAAAACAAATTTGTGACAAGTATTTTAAGCTGCACTACGAAATATATGAGTGGTTTAATATCGGTTTTGACTACTTTGGAAGGACTACTACCGTGAAACAAACTGAGTAAGTAGATATAACTTTTATGTCATTGTAATGAGACTTTTGACAATTGTTTTTGTATCAATTTAATGTAAATACTAAGTGAAACTCTTTTAGTTTTGTTTTTACCATTTTAATATGATAACTGTTGATTTTTCACTTTTTTGATGTACACATTTTATATATTCAACTGAAAATAATGCTTAAAAAGAGTAATAGAGAGGAACATGTAAATAAAATTGTTTTGCTTAAAACGTCAAGCAGTGTGCCCAATATCAAAGTCCAAATCACCGTCTGTTGGTTGAACGGTCACTGTCGCTTCCAGCTAGAATCATTAGACTGTAATCTATCAGATATAGACACTAATTTGAAACATCAGAACATACATTACAAATCACCAGATGAGATTCTTTGAACATACAGTACATTACAAATGATTTTGAAAACACTACAGTGTAAATGAAATTGAATTGTTAAACACCCTTTGCTTCCTGTCTTTTGTAGAATTGCACAAGATATATTTTGGCGTCTTCACAAGCGCAACTTTTTGCTTGAAGATACAGTTGAACAGCTTTTGTGTGAGACGTGCAACCGCTACCTTGCCGATCGTTTTGTTGAGGGCACTTGCCCACTATGTAACTATGAAGATGCGCGTGGGGACCAGTGTGACAAGTGCGGGAAACTAATAAATGCCACCGAGTTGAAGGTATGACATTTAAAGATTATATTATGATAATGAACAAAGCTTTATATCATGCCGCCAATGTAAAAATTATTGACTTTTTTTCACTTGAATTTAATGTTTTTTTAAATTCCTCAGAAACCAAGATGTAAAGTTTGCAGCAACTCACCAGTGATCCGTAGCTCTAAACATCTATTTCTTGATTTACCAAAACTTCAGCCAACTCTTGAGAAATTCTTAAATAAATCTACCAGTGAGGGTGATTGGACCCACAATGCAAAGCTTATTACAAACTCATGGGTTCGCGATGGCCTGAAGCCTCGGTGTATCACTAGAGATTTAAAATGGGGGACGCCTGTCCCCCTTGAGGGCTTCAAGGATAAAGTGTTCTATGTGTGGTTTGATGCCCCCATTGGGTATCCGTCAATTACTGCTAATTACACTGATGATTGGCAGAAATGGTGGAAGAATCCAGAAGAGGTAGATCATTGGCAACAGTCTATGATGATATTGGAGATGATGATGGAGATGATGATGATGGTGGCAGATTCTATTGCCATGGTGATGGGATATCAGCGACTATGTGGATGACGATTATGATGCCAATTGAGATGATGATGATTATGATAGTAATGTTGGTAGTGATGATTGTGAATATTGAGGGTTAGCATTATGGTGATTATGGTGGCAATAAGTATAGCAGTGAGTAAGGTTAAAATGGTGGCAGTGAGGATGTTGATGGTTTTGGTAACTGATAATAATGACACTAATGATGATTGTGAGAGACGTAATAATACTAGTGATTGTGTGGAAGATAATTAGTTATTATAATATGTCCCAATGATAATTATAATGCCTTACTTATGATATTTTTTTTTAATAAAATGATTTCGTCAGGTGGAACTCTACAATTTTATGGCAAAGGACAACGTACCATTCCACAGTGTCATTTTTCCATGCTCACTGCTAGGAGCCGATGATAACTGGACACTTGTCAACCACTTAATCGCCACAGGTGGGTACATTTTAATTATTGGTGGTTTAAAATGTTTTACATGTAGATGCCATAGCAACAAGGTGGCAATGCATGGTTAAATTTTAATAATCTTCATACAAACCAAAATTTCATTGAGTTCATTAAAATTTAGTATGGTATAAATTTTAGTACCCTCATCATTTTTGTTCCCTTAGTAGCATGTGTTATTCAAATATACAAGTAGTATAATACTCAATAGAAAGTGATATATTTTCTTGGATGGAAACTAGAATTAATGTCTCAATGTCTATTTTTAGAGTACCTTAACTATGAAGATGGGAAATTCTCCAAGAGCAGAGGTGTTGGCATCTTTGGGACGGATGTCTGTAAGACTGGTATTCCTGCAGCCATTTGGCGGTTCTACTTGCTCTACGTCCGCCCGGAATCTCAGGACAGCGCATTTAGTTGGTCAGATTTTGTACTGAAGAATAACTCGGAACTGTTGAACAATCTGGGAAATTTTGTCAACAGGTGGGCCACATTTAACAATTTAAATGTTGGAATCTTATCCTTGTGTCCTTAGTATAGTTAATTGTTTAATGTCTATTTTGTGAATACCTGGAGGAGGTATAAAATTAGGTGAATAAAACAATGTAAGCCAGATTGCTAATGCAACCTGCCCATTCATCCAGGTAATTTTCTCACTCATAGACCCACAACATCACTCCTGATTTGTGTGATTTGTAATTGCAATCATGATGCTTGCAGTGTTGGGAATAAAAATCCAAACAAATTAAACTCATATTAACATGTTTACTTTCCACGGGTCTAACTGTTTCTCTCTGCCTACTGACCTACAATATAATACAATTCATTATCTATTGTTAAAATTTTAGAAACACTCAAGAATTTGTCACGTATATATCAAGTGTCAGTCAGCTACCAGTAATGTATATTAAGCTTTATTTTATTTTTATTTTTCAACAGAGGATTGTCTTTCTTGGAGAAGAATTTCAACAGTGTTGTTCCTGAAATGGTTTTAAGTGAGGATGATAAGAATGTAATAGTTGCTGTAGCGAAGGAGCTTAAAGTTTACGTTGAATTACTAGAGAAGGTTAAGTAAGTGAGATAATCTATGATTAAAATGTCATCCACCATCCTTATTAACATTATGTTAACCATCATCATCATCAGGATCTTCAATATCATCATTTGCTCTATCGTCACCATGATCCTCGCCAGCATAGTTAATATTATCAAAAGTAAAACTAAACAAATCAGAAGTGAGATACTTAACCAAGTAATATTACTTTGCACAACAGTGAAAGGAAAATGAAGATGTGAGTGTATTAGATGCCCCTTTGAGACTAAGTGGTTGATTACATTATGTTTAGAAATAAGTTCTTCATGTGAAACTTTGTCTTTATCAAGTTTATACATACAGAAATCAATTTCTTCTAACATTTTTGATTATTTTTTTCAAGGATTCGTGATGCTCTGCGTCAGATTCTCTCAATTTCTCGCATTGGTAACCAACATATGCAAGCCACGAAGCCTTGGGATCTCATGAAAACTAAGAAAGATGAAGATAGGTATGTCATCTTATGCTCTTTCTTTTAGTGGTCACATTACTACTGAAAATAATGTGAGGGATGGGAGATATGTTTTCACAATTTGCTAAGCTGTTGTTTTGATTTCTCAAGTTAAGTATCTTGCAGCGAGATATCAACTGTTTATGTAGGTCTTTCTGTCAACCTCTTCCCCCGTTTGGGTCCAGTTACCAAGCTCAGATACAGGCCCTTCTGCAGCAATAGTCAACGAATCACGTCCACTTAACTTATAAGTCTTTTTTGTATCATGTTATTTTTTTTTATCCCTGTGGTTGTGTAAGAGGTAGTTCTTGGAATAGCTTAGGATATAATGTCCATGTCTCACATCTGTAGAGCAGACCTCACATCCATTGAGCAGACAGCACTCTCACCATAGTTGTCAATGCTGGTCAGTGCTGTGTTGCTGTCCACCACTCGCATGCTGCCGACTCCTCCATTTTTGCAATTGATTTTTGAAAAAAGTAACGTAACAAAATATTGTACTTTCGTTATACAACTAGAGTAGGGAGTTTTTGATTAACTGGTTGAATAATGAAAATTTACCTACATTATATAAGACAAATATACAAATTACGTTTCCGTGGTTATATTAATTTGAAGGCCTAGGCTTAGTATTGTTATGATATCTATCTGAGCTGTTGCAGAGTGGCTGTCTATGCTGTGAAGATTGAACTAAACAGTGTCTGCTTGTTTATTCTCATTTCAGAGTGAAAGCTGGTACTGTAATAGGAGTTGTAGTAAACATTAGCTACCTAATATCGTTGATGCTGCACCCGTATATGCCAAGTGTAAGCCAAACCATTCAGGAACAACTGCAGGCAACAACCATCTCTAACTACCTCAGTGAGAAATTTGTGTGCCAACTTCAGCCTGGACACAAGATAGGAAAGCCATCACCTTTATTCAGTAAGATTGAGGCTTCTCAGGCTGAGGAATTAAAGCAGCAGTTTGCTGGTAAGCAGAATCCTGTACCCTCTCGGCAGACACCTGTGGCCCTGCAGGAGAAGACTGGTACCCCGGAACCAGCATTATGTAGTCCAGCGGATATTGAAGAACTGAAAAAGCTAGTTACTGCTCAGGTTAGCATGGATTTAGATGTTCCGACAAGCACTCTTATATTGTAATGATTATGATAGTAGAGTGTTGAAGCTCCATGTGTATGTGCTTGGCCTTTTTGTTTATTCCTTGGATTTTTCTACCAACCAGGTCCCACCTTCCTCCTGTTTTATCTTAACATAGGCAATACTATTGAATGATGGTTGAACTTCATAAAGTAAAATTAAGCAATTTCTATTTTTTTTTTAATATATAGGGTGAGATTGTAAGATCCCTGAAAGCAACGAAAGCAGAAAAAGCTAAAATTGACACAGAGGTCAAGAAACTTTTGGAATTGAAGCAAAACTTGGCAAAAATGAGCGGTGAAGAGTTGCCATCACCAGCTAGTAAATCAAGCAAAAGTAAAAAGAAAAAAGGAGGAAAAAAATAAAGAGGAAGAAACCTAGCGAAATCAAGGTTTTTAACTATAGGATTAATGCCTCTAACTGATATAATGTATTATTTTATATTCTGAGTCTTTGAAATAGGCATCAAGTGACAGCACCTTTGTAACTGGTTTTAGTGGATTTTTTTTTTTCAAAGTCAACAAACCTAAATTGCATTGGAGTGCAGAAACTGAACTATGGCTATATCAAGTTTTTGGTGCTCTAATTTTTAAAACCAACATCACGGATTCTAATTCCTGCATATCCTTTATTCACCCACTTTTATTTAGTTTATTATACATAAAAGATTACAATATGTATAAATGTAACACAATTTTTAATAAAAAATAAATTAATAAACATTATACAACATTTGCAATCTAGTATAGTAAAGGGAAATGCAATGCCATTTTTTTGTAGTTCTCAGTTTTTTTTTCCTAGAATTGCTTCACTGGCTGATAGGTTGACCAAATGTTACTTTAAGCTTTGGATAGTATTCAATGGTGTATCTAGGAGTATTGACGTTGAAGTGATGGCAAGGGACAAAAAGTTTTATGGGGCTCAATGATTAAGTGAGGGAGGAGTGTTATGAGTTGATCATTTCCCGATAGGGGCAGGGGACCTGCACTGCACATACTTCATGGTCGCTATGTGCTATAAAGCTATAAACTGATTACTGACGGTCTAATATGCTTTCAGGTTCAAAAACTGACAATTTTCTTAGCTGAATATTCTTTTAAAAAAAGGTACCCAGTCACTCCAGATGCTGTTATACTTTAAAATTTAAGTTACATCAAGTACTTAATTGAATTAAGCAAGCAACCAACTTAATGCCGATTTTCTTTCCAATGAAAATGCCCACCAAAAAAAATACTATAGAAAGTCCATTTCAGTGTTGACTTGCTCATTCCATTTCCGTATAATTTTATGTCATGAGAACAATAAATCAGAACCAGAACATCGTTTTTTTGTTGTTTTACTTTAAAGGTACCAACGGCACAATACTCTTTGCATATACGTACCAAGGGTCTAACACCATCATCATTACTATTATAATCTTCATAATCGTAATTATAACCCTTATATCATAATCATCATCACTTAATATCATCATTTCTTATTGTCAAAAGGACATAGTTGTACTGATTCATAGAATCTGTGATACTCTCCATCGCACCTCAATTTCCTGCATTGGTAACCAACGTTTGAAGGCCACCAAGGCCTGGGATCTTATGAATATTTACCTGCCCCTGCTGCTATTGAAATAAAAAAAACCTAAATGTGCAGTCTCTCAAAGATGTGGCCACTGAATGGAACAGCAATGCAAGGACAATAACGGTACGGTAATGTTAAATGTTCTTGAGCAAAGACAACAATGTTAGCTGTAAACATGTTGCAATGCTGCTTCGACATGAAATATAATTTTGAATGCTTATTATAATGCATAATGGAAGTTGATTGCTAAATTGTTGCATTCTATACGGTGAGATCCCTAATGTTTGTAATGCAGAGGTGAATTTTGAAAACTACTATTTAAAAAAAGCCTACAAAATTAAGGAAAGTAGAAAAAGATGAATAACTTGTGTTGTGATCACCATTAGCTGAGAGGAATTGTTCCTGCTTTATGTGCTTTAAGACCCCAGTTCAATTCCATTTAGCATTGGGTTATAATTGGAGTATGATCGATAATGGATCAAGGTCCCCCACAAAAAAAGTGGTCATGGTCAGGCGTCGCTGAAAAATATGACAATTTGGGGTTTCAAAGTCTTAATTAATCGATTTCTAATATATAGAAAATACATATACATTTTTTTTTCTCCCCGGCGAATTGTGGTTTTTTTTTTACTCAACGCAGTAGGTGGTGGGGGAGCTCCCCAGCCCCGTCCCCCTGCTGGCAGCACCTCTGAGATCACCTAAGAGAATATCACTATTAACAATCTAGTATTCTCTATAGTAATTTATTTATAATTCCTGGAGCTTGCAATGATATGAACTTAATTGTTTTAGCATCAGTGTATTTGATATCTACAGAGTATTCTATTTATAAACAAATGTTATTCTGTTGTATTATATGACAATTTAATAATAATGTGTGCCAGGAAAATACATTTTCAACTAAAACAAATTGTGAAAATAATTTCTATCAGAATAGTTCTACCTAATTCAAATTTGTATACACTCACATAAAGTAAAATTTCGGCAAATATATTTAGGGTGTTTTCAAACAACTATAAGTTATGTCTAACATTTGTTTAATTCTTTTTGGTGTTACTGTTAGTTTTTTTAAATTTAAATAATTTACTGCATTACATTTTTAGCAAAAATGAGGTAAAACCTCTATATTATTTTCAATGATACAATTCTTATAAATTAAACAAATGTACATAAGATGCTCTGAGTATATTTGAAAACATACATATTTTTTTGTTTAACTATTTTCACCCACTCGGAAAAAAGTTTGCAAAAATGCCCAAGGAAAATATACATCTATTATAGGAGTTGAATCTTGACATTAATTTATCTTGCAAAAACTTTAATAGGGTTCGATTGATCATTGAAGTTTTTTTTTTCTTTTCCTCATTTAAATCTCAAAAGGGGAAAAATATTCTGGAGAAATAACTATACAGATATTAAAACCCCCTATTGATACCGTTAAACATGAGACAGGTTTCCTTATCATGCAAGCCAGTTAATATGATTTTTCCGTAGTCCCTTCAATCCATTACCTAAGACTTTCTAAACTTTCTTAAAATGAGCATATAGCCAGTGTCATGAACAATGTAATATAAAGGTAAAATGTTCTCTATGCCAAGTCATTCAGGTTGATTGGTCAGTGTGCAGTGCCACTCTCATTTACTGGGCCTACAGGCATCGCTAGAGTATGGGACTTTTTTAAACTAGACTAGCTTGTATGCTAGTAACATCCTCCTTTAAGGGTCCCATCATGTCCGAAATACCCAGTAAACTACTCTTGTCTGTCCACCACAGGGGTGGTATGAATCAGTATATCAGGGTAACCTACTCCTCTTGAAAGGTGTACTAGGTTATTTATAGAGCACATGAGCCAACTATGTACACTAGGCTTACGGGTGTTATTCTGTTGATAGAAGTCTTGGAATATAGAATTAAGTGCCTGGTGAGAAATTCTATTTACTGGCTTAATTCTTGTATAAATAGATATCCCTGGAGCTAAAGGACTGTATTTGATTAATTGATATAAAATTTGAGATTGTTTATTATGCCTCTGCTTGTACTTTCTCACCTAGGTGTACTGTACTGGTGCCAGCGTTGTATAGTTGGTTATCTATCCCGGTTGTGGCTTTGGAATCATTAAAGGAGAATTTCTGTCGCTGGACAACAAACCAGGCAATCATAGCAACAGCAAGTAAAAGAACAACAGAAGCCAAAACGATGCCTACAATTGCCCCTGTGTTTAGTTTACCTCCTAAACACAAAAAGAAATAAACTTTTAATGTTTTAAAGCACTACACAAAAATGTATTACATTCAGTAATATAAAATTATAAAATATATATACAGTGCACTCTCCAATTTGAGATCCCACTAAGTCTGAGTCCCTCAAATTGGTGACATAACAATCTTCAATCTTTTAACTCAAATCTAACCCTCTAATTGGAGACCGAACTCAGAGGCCACCCTAAATGTTAAGGTCTCAAAGGTTTTCTGAATTTGGAGGGTGAACTGTATATAGCTATGGTAATAATTTTATAGCTGTTCATTTATATGTAGATAATAGCCATCCCTTTTAATTTAAATATCAGTTTTAGCCAAACCAATTCCTACCTGTACTAGGTTCTTTATTTCCATCATCATTAGTTGTATACTGAGGTGGGTTTGGTCCATCTCCAGTGACAGGATTCACTGGCCCTACAAAGTCAAGATTAACAGTACAGTGTATATACAACAGTACAGTGTATATACTCAAGTGATAATAATAAGTATTAACAGTACAGCGTATATACTTAAGTGATAATAATAAGTATTAACAGTACAGCGTATATACTTAAGTGATAATAATAAGTATTAACAGTACAGCGTATATACTTAAGTGATAATAATAAGTATTAACAGTACAGTGTATATACTTAAGTGATAATAATAAGTATTAACAGTACAGTGTATATACTTAAGTGATAATAATAAGTATTAACAGTAATTACAAGACTTTCTAAACTTAAAACGAGCATATAGCCATGGATGTCATGAACAATGTAATATAAAGGTAAAATGTTCTCTATGCCAAGTCATTCAGGTTGATTGGTCAGTGTGCAGTGCCACTCTCATTTACTGGGCCTACAGGCATCGCTAGAGTATGGGACTTTTTTAAACTAGACTAGCTTGTATGCTAGTAACATCCTCCTTTAAGGGTCCCATCATGTCCGAAATACCCAGTAAACTACTCTTGTCTGTCCACCACAGGGGTGGTATGAATCAGTATATCAGGGTACCCTACTCCTCTTGAAAGGTGTACTAGGTTATTTATAGAGCACATGAGCCAACTATGTACACTAGGCTTACGGGTGTTATTCTGTTGATAGAAGTCTTGGAATATAGAATTAAGTGCCTGGTGAGAAATTATATTTACTGGCTTAATTCTTGTATAAATAGATATCCCTGGAGCTAAAGGACTGTATTTGATTAATTGATATAAAATTTGAGATTGTTTATTATGCCTCTGCTTGTACTTTCTCATCTAGGTGTACTGTACTGGTGCCAGCGTTGTATAGTTGGTTATCTATCCCGGTTGTGGCTTTGGAATCATTAAAGGAGAATTTCTGTCGCTGGACAACAAACCAGGCAATCATAGCAACAGCAAGTAAAAGAACAACAGAAGCCAAAACGATGCCTACAATTGCCCCTGTGTTTAGTTTACCTCCTAAACACAAAAAGAAATAAACTTTTAATGTTTTAAAGCACTACACAAAAATGTATTACATTCAGTAATATAAAATTATAAAATATATATACAGTGCACTCTCCAATTTGAGATCCCACTAAGTCTGAGTCCCTCTAATTGGTGACATAACAATCTTCAATCTTTTAACTCAAATCTAACCCTCTAATTGGAGACCGAACTCAGAGGCCACCCTAAATGTTAAGGTCTCAAAGGTGTTCTCAATTTGGAGGGTGAACTGTATATAGCTATGGTAATAATTTAATAGCTGTTCATTTATATGTAGATAATAGCCATCCCTTTTAATTTAAATATCAGTTTTAGCCAAACCAATTCCTACCTGTACTAGGTTCTTTATTTCCATCATCATTAGTTGTATACTGAGGTGGGTTTGGTCCATCTCCAGTGACAGGATTCACTGGCCCTACAAAGTTTTAAAAATTTTATTTTTATTTTTTCAACAGAGGATTGTCTTTCTTGGAGAAGAATTTCAACAGTGTTGTTCCTGAAATGGTTTTAAGTGAGGATGATAAGTATGTAATAGTTGCTGTATCGAAAAAGCTTAAAGTTGAATTACTAGAGAAGGTTAAGTAAGTGAGATAATCTATGATTTAAATGTCATCCACCATCCTTATTAACATTATGTTAACCATCATCATCATCAGGATCTTCATTATCATCATTTGCTCTATCGTCACCATCATCCTCGCCAGCACAGTTAATATTATCAAAAGTAAAACTAAACAAATCAGAAGTGAGATACTTAACCAAGTAATATTACTTTGCACAACAGTGAAAGGAAAATGAAGATGTGAGTGTATTAGATGCCCCTTTGAGACTAAGTAGTTGATTACATTATGTTTAGAAATAAGTTCTTCATGTGAAACTTTGTCTTTATCAAGTTTATACATACAGAAATCAATTTCTTCTAACATTTTTGATTATTTTTTTCAAGGATTCGTGATGCTCTGCGTCAGATTCTCTCAATTTCTCGCATTGGTAACCAACATATGCAAGCCACGAAGCCTTGGGATCTCATGAAAACTAAGAAAGATGAAGATAGTTATGTCATCTTAGGCTCTTTCTTTTAGTGGTCACATTACTACTGAAAACAATGGAGAAATATGTTTTCACAATTTGCTAAGCTGTTGTTTTGATTTCTCAAGTTAAGTATCTTGCAGCGAGATATCAACTGTTTATGTAGGTCTTTCTGTGTCTACCTCTTCCCCTGTTTGGGTCCAGTTACCAAGCTCAGATACAGGCTCTTCTGCAGCAATAGTCAACGAATCACGTCCACTTAACTTATATGTCTTTTTTGTATCATGTTATTTTTTTTTATCCCAGTGGTTGTGTAAGAGGTAGTTCTTGGAATAGCTTAGGATATAATGTCCATGTCTCACATCTGTAGAGCAGACCTCACATCCATTGAGCAGACAGCACTCTCACCATAGTAGTCAATGCTGGTCAATGCTGTGTTGCTGTCCACCACTCGCATGCTGCCGACCCCTCCATTTTTGCAATTGATTTTTGAAAAAAGTAACGTAACAAAATACTGTACTTTCGTTATACAACTAGAGTAGGGAGTTTTTGATTAACTGGTTGAATAATGAAAATTTACCTACATTATATAAGACAAATATACAAATTACGTTTCCGTGGTTATATTAATTTGAAGGCCTAGGCTTAGTATTGTTATCATGTCTATCTGAGCTGTTGCAGAGTGGCTGTCTATGCTGTGAAGATTGAATTAAACAGTGTCTGCTTGTTTATTCTCATTTCAGAGTGAAAGCTGGTACTGTAATAGGAGTTGTAGTAAACATTAGCTACCTAATATCGTTGATGCTGCACCCGTATATGCCAAGTGTAAGCCAAACCATTCAGGAACAACTGCAGGCAACAACTATCTCTAACTACCTCAGTGAGAAATTTGTGTGCCAACTTCAGCCTGGACAAAAGATAGGAAAGCCATCACCTTTATTCAGTAAGATTGAGGCTTCTCAGGCTGAGGAATTAAAGCAGCAGTTTGCTGGTAAGCAGAATCCTGTACCCTCTCAGCAGACACCTGTGGCCCCGCAGGAGAAGACTGGTACCCCAGAACCAGCATTATGTAGTCCAGCGGATATTGAAGAACTGAAAAAGCTAGTTACTGCTCAGGTTAGCATGCATGGATTTAGATGTTCCGACAAGCACTCCTTATATTGTTATGATTATGATAGTAGAGTGTTGAAGCGCCATGTGTATGTGCTTGGCCTTTTTGTTTATTCCTTGGATTTTTCTACCAACCAGGTCCCACCTTCCTCCTGTTTTATCTTAACATAGGCAATACTATTGAATGATGGTTGAACTTACATAAAGTAAAATTAAGCAATTTCTATTTTTTTTTAATATATAGGGTGAGATTGTGAGATCCCTGAAAGCAATGAAAGCAGAAAAAGCTAAAATTGACACAGAGGTCAAGAAACTTTTGGAATTGAAGCAAAACTTGGCAAAAATGAGCGGTGAAGAGTTGCCATCACCAGCTAGTAAATCAAGCAAAAGTAAAAAGAAAAAAGGAGGAAAAAAATAAAGAGGAAGAAACCTAGAGAAATCAAGGTTTTTAACTATAGGATTAATGCCTCTAACTGATATAATATGTATTATTTTATATTCTGAGTCTTTGAAATAGGCATCAAGTGACAGCACTTTTGTAACTGGTTTTAGTGGATTTTTTTTTTCAAAGTCAACAAACCTAAATTGCATTGGAGTGCAGAAACTGAACTATGGCTATATCAAGTTTTTGGTGCTCTAATTTTTAAAACCAACATCATTCTACTTCCTGCATATCCTTTATTCACCCACTTTTATGTAGTTCATTATACATAAAAGATTACAATGTGTATAAATGTAACACAATTTTTAATAAAAAATAAATTAATAAACATTATACAACATTTGCAATCTAGTATAGTAAAGGGAAATGCAATGCCATTTTTTTTGTAGTTCTCAGTTTCTTTTCATAGAATTGCTTCACTGGCTGATAGGTTGACCAAATGTTACTTTAGCTTTGGATAGTATTCAATGGTGTATCTAGGAGTATTGATGTTGAAGTGATGGCAAGGGACAAAAAGTTTTATGGGGCTCAATGATTAAGTGAGGGAGGAGTGTTATGAGTTGATCATTTCCCGATAGGGGCAGGGGACCTGCACTGCACATACTTCATGGTCGCTATGTGCTATAAAACTATAAACTGATTACTGACAGTCTAATATGCTTTCAGGTTCAATAACTGACAATTTTCTCAGGCTGAATATTCAGTTAAAAAGGTACCCAGTCACTCCAGATGTTGCTATACTTTAAAAAGTTAAGTTACATCAAGTACTTAATTGAATTAAGCAAGCAACCAACTTAATGCCGATTTTCTTTCCAATGAAAATGCCCACCAAAAAAAAATACTATAGAAAGTCGATTTCCATATAATTTTATGTCATGAGAATAATAAATCAGAACCAGAACACCGTTTTTTTGTTGTTTTACTTTAAAGGTACTAACGGCACAATACTCTTTGCATATACGTACCAAGGGCCTAATACCATCATCATTACTATTATAATCTTCATAATCTTAATTATAACCCTTATATCATAATCATCATCATTTAATATCATCATTTCTTATTGTCAAATGAAAATATATAAGGACATAGTTGTACTGATTCATAGAATCTGTGATACTCTCCATCGCACCTCAATTTCCTGCATTGGTAACCAACGTTTGAAGGCCACCAAGGCCTGGGATCTGCCCCTGCTGCTATTGAAATAAAAACAACCTGAATGTGCAGTCTCTCAAAGATGTGGCCACTGAATGGAACAGCAATGCAAGGACAATAACAGTAATGTTAAATATTCTTGAGCAAAGACAACAATGTTAGCTGTAAACATGTTGCAATGCTGCTTCGACATGAAATATAATTTTGAATGCTTATTATAATGCATAATGGAAGTTGATTGCTAAATTGTGCATTCTATACGGTGAGATCCCTAATGTTTGTAATGCAGAGGTGAATTTTAAAACTACTATTTTAAAAAGCCTACAAAATTAAGGAAAGTAGAAAAGAGGAATGACTTGTGTTGTGGTCACCATTAGCTGAGTAGATGGCTAAGAGGAATTGTTCCTGCTTTATGTGCTGAAGACCCCAGTTCAATTCAATTGGGTTATAATTGGAGTATGATCGATAGTGGATCGAGGTCCCCCACAAAAAAGGTGGTCATGGTCAGGCGTCGCTGAAAAATATGATAATTTGGGGTTTCAAAGGCTTAATTAATCGATTTTGGTGCTGGCGGCACCTCTGTGACCACCTAAGAGAATAATATCACTATTAACAACAATTTTCTATAGTAATTTATTTATAATTCCTGGAGCTTGCAATGACATGAACTTAATTGTTTTAGCATCATGAAGTTTATTTTATATCTACAGAGTATTCTATTTATAAACAAATGTTATTCTGTTGTATTATATGACAATTTAATAATAATGTGTGCCAAGAAAATACATTTTCAACTAAAACAAATTGTGAAAATAATTTCTATCAGAATAGTTTTACCTATTCAAATTTGTATACACTCATATAAAGTAAAATTTCGGCAAATATATTTAGGGTGTTTTCAAACAACTATAAGTTATGTCTAACATTTGTTTAATTCTTTTTGGTGTTACTGTTAGTTTTTTTAAATTTAAATAATTGACTGCATTACATTCTTTTCCTCATTTAAATCTCAAAAGGGGAAAAATATTCTGGAGAAATAACTATACAGATATTAAAACCCCCTATTGATACCGTTAAACATGAGACAGGTTTCCTTATCATGCAAGCCAGTTAATATGATTTTTCCGCAGTCCCTTTTAATCCATTACAAGACTTTCTAAACTTAAAACGAGCATATAGCCATGGATGTCATGAACAATGTAATATAAAGGAAAAATGTTCTCTATGCCAAGTCATTCAGGTTGATTGGTCAGTGTGCAGTGCCACTCTCATTTACTGGGCCTACAGGCATCGCTAGAGTATGGGACTTTTTTAAACTAGACTAGCTTGTATGCTAGTAACATCCTCCTTTAAGGGTCCCATCATGTCTGAAATACCCAGTAAACTACTCTTGTCTGTCCACCACTGGGGTGGTATGAATCAGTATATCAGGGTACCCTACTCCTCTTGAAAGGTGTACTAGGTTATTTATAGAGCACATGAGCCAACTATGTACACTAGGCTTACGGGTGTTACAAACATGGCTTACATTATATGTTTGTATTAATGATACAGGGAAAATATTCAACAACAATGAATTTGACACATACCGACATCTGTTCTATAGAGACCAAGCCAAACACTTTTGCCTAGACGACTCTGTACATTGTTACGGATGAACTCATTCTGGGCTCTGCTGTGGATGCTTGTTAGATGAGCGGCATGATTCAAAGAGCACGCAAACTCTGCCTCTGCCCAGGACATCGAGGTCCTAGAGACTCCAAAGAAATAGCAATGCCTGCCATAAGGAACCCAATCATCACTTGGGCAGGTGCCAGGGCCAGGTGATGGAGTAACAGGCTTCTCCGCTGAAAATATTAAAAAAATTCATGAAGGTAAACAATACAAAAAAAGTTGCCCCACACCCCACCTTCTAAATATGTGTCCTGCTTTTGATCATAATATTCCACTTTCTAAATTGACGCTGTCTCTTATACACATCTAGATGTGTATAAGAGACAGTAGCCAGTGTCATGAACAATGTAATATAAAGGAAAAATGTTCTCTATGCCAAGTCATTCAGGTTGATTGGTCAGTGTGCAGTGCCATTTACTGGGCCTACATGCATCGCTAGAATATGGGACTGTTTATAACTAGACTAGCTTGTACGCTAGTAACATCCTCATTTAAGGGTCCCATCATGTCTGAAATACCCAGTAAACTACTCTTGTCTGTCCACCACAGGGGTGGTATGAATCAGTATATCAGGGTAACCTACTCATCTTGAAAGGTGTACTAGGTTATTTATAGAGCACATGAGCCAACTATGTACACTAGGCTTACGGGTGTTATTCTGTTGATAGAAGTCTTGGAATATAGAATTAAGTGTCTGGTGAGAAATTATATTTACTGGCTTAATTCTTGTATAAATAGATATCCCTGGAGCTAAAGGACTGTATTTGATTAATTGATATAAAATTTGAGATTGTTTATTATGCCTCTGCTTGTACTTTCTCATCTAGGTGTACTGTACTGGTGCCAGTGTTGTATAGTTGGTTATCTATCCCGGTTGTGGCTTTGGAATCATTAAAGGAGAATTTCTTTCGCTGTGCAACAAACCAGGCAATCATAGCAACAGCAAGTAAAAGAACAACAGAAGCCAGAACGATGCCTACAATTGCCCCTGTGTTTAGTTTACCTCCTAAACACAAAAAGAAATAAACATTTAATGTTTTAAAGCACTACACAAAAATGTATTACATTCAGTAATATAAAATTATAAAATATCTAGACAGTGCACTCTCCAATTCGAGATCCCACTAAGTCTGAGTCCCTCTAATTGGTGACATAACAATCTTCAATCTTTTAACTCAAATCTAACCCTCTAATTGGAGACCGAACTCAGAGGCCACCCTAAATGTTAAGGTCTCAAAGGTGTTCTCAATTTGGAGGGTGAACTGTATATAGCTATGGTAATAATTTAATAGCTGTTCATTTATATGTAGATAATAGCCATCCCTTTTAATTTAAATATCAGTTTTAGCCAAACCAATTCCTACCTGTACTAGGTTCTTTATTTCCATCATCATTAGTTGTATACTGAGGTGGGTTTGGTCCATCTCCAGTGACAGGATTCACTGGCCCTACAAAGTCAAGATTAACAGTACAGTGTATATACTTAAGTGATAATAATAAGTATTATTACTATTGTTGTTATAATGGCAACATTATTTAACATTATAACTAGTGATATTACTGAATAATGATATATGAATTCATAATATTTATTGTTTTTAAATGTTTAGTTATTAATATAGGGTTAAAAATTAAAATTAAAGTTATACAATAGTACATGAAGTTACAGGAGTTTAAACATACAGTTGTTTAGAGGATATTATTTGAGAAAACAGCCTTATAATTTTACAATTTTGGGCATTTCTCAGGCAGAAACCATCACCAAATTGTTAAAAAATGCTATTTTAATATTGAAAATAACAACATAACATAATGTATAGATATATAAAGGTTAGTTTAGTGCAATAAAAGAGATTTAAAAAATTTTGACATTACAGTTATTATCATAATTTCTGAAACACAATTTGCGAGGAATTCTGATGTTTGTCTATTCAAGTCATTATTTGAATTATATGTGCTCTATATTATGTTGTTAAAATATAATACAATCAAACTGAAGAAAGAGAACATGTTCATTTTGAAATGCTGGTACTGCCTTCTGCTTTGTCTACACTATCAAATTTAATGTGACAAAATATGTGATGTGCCCATATATGGGTATGATGACATCTTATCACATATCAAAAAAAGTTGAATGCTTTCAACTCTATGTTCCTTTACATTTTATGTGATGCTTCTTTTAATGAAATTTGATAGTGTAGACAAAGCTTTCCATTACCTTTCAAAATTTGACAAACATAAGCTTGGCCATCATAACAGTTCTCATCATTCCAGTACCCGTATTCTGGATACATTTCCACGCAGTTCTCATGTTGTCCATTATGTGTCATGGTTGGTTCTCCATCATTCCAGAAAGTGTAGTCTACGCCAGTACCATCAGACCACTGGAATCCACCTGCAAACAAAAAGAATAGCTTAGGTTTTTGCATTTAATGTTGTCATTCTTTCTATTTATTTATTGAATTAATCCTGTAAGAGCATACAATGTCCCCAACAAGGAAAAAGTGGGCGTGGTCGGGCTTCGCTAAAAACCTTATGGAAGTGGTCCAGGGGACGTAGCCCCCAAAAATATGACAATTTAGGGGTTTCAGAGGCTTATTTAATCGATTATAGAGTCTATTAATATGTAAACCAACCCCCCTCCCCCCTGAAAACGTAATTGTTACTTCTCATGATTTTGATAGAATGTGTCATTAGTTAAAAAAGTGAGGCTGTAAACTGTGGTTGCAAACATGGCTTACATTATATGTTTGTATTAATGATACAGGGAAAATATTCAACAACAATGAATTTGACACATACCGACATCTGTTCTATAGAGACCAAGCCAAACACTTTTGCCTAGACGACTCTGTACATTGTTACGGATGAACTCATTCTGGGCTCTGCTGTGGATGCTTGTTAGATGAGCGGCATGATTCAAAGAGCACGCAAACTCTGCCTCTGCCCAGGACATCGAGGTCCTAGAGACTCCAAAGAAATAGCAATGCCGGCCATAAGGAACCCAATCATCACTTGGGCAGGTGCCAGGGCCAGGTGATGGAGTAACAGGCTTCTCCGCTGAAAATATTTAAAAAATTCATGAAGGTAAACGATACAAAAAAGTTGCCCCACACCCCACCTTCTAAATATGTGTCCTGCTTTTGATCATAATATCCCACTTTCTAAATTGACGTGTCCTGCTTTTAAGAGGTTTGAAATTATCTATACATTTACATTCAAACCTACTAGGTACATATTATGTGGAGGAAAGACCTGGTGCCTTACTGAAGAACATAAGAAACTGAAGAGGTGCATATATTCTTACCTGTTGTTGTCTTGCAGAGGACATTGTGAGTACTTGCACAAGGGGCATCCTCCCAATAACCATCCCCATTCACTCGAACACAGCCTTCTCCAGGACCCTTGCTAGGCTCATTTACAGACCAGTGAGTATACCAGACAGGCCAGCCATCCAACCAAACATACACGCCTTCCTCCTGTGTGGGAATATCAGTATTATTGTTTATATTTATAACAGCCATAGAAAGATGATGCAAAATATTTCATCTTGCTTTGAAACTTTCTATATCAAGTTTTATATACGATTGACTACTGGATTGGATTGGATACTGCAGCATCATAGAGGCGTGTCCACACAGAATAAATTAAATCCAAATATAATACATAATAATGCTCTGATTAACTTTATCAAAAATTATATTCACATTCTAAATAGTAGTATTTGAGTACAGTACCAGCAGTATTAGCACTAATCCCACTTTTTAAACTAATCATTTGCAAAAGTCGAGTTAGAAAGGAATGCCAACAAGAAAACATTCAAGTTGTTTTTTATGTGCATTAATACCATAGCTTCCCCCAAAATCAGCTACAAGGATCTAAAAAAGAAGGACCAATTTTCTGACCTCTGTTAAAGGAATAAACAAATATGCAAAAAGAAAAAAAGAAAGTCTGTCTGTCAAGTCCCCATAAAAGGGATACACTCACAATCTAGCAGATACTGCAAGAGCACCGGCACACCAATGCTAGTACATAACAATAATCAGTTGCAACGAGCTATCCCAATCTCGAAGTCCAACCAATCTATATCCGCAATTCAACCTAACTGTAAGTAATCATGAGCAAACACACAACTCCACCCCATGGCGTCAAGAATCATGAAGATGGAAGCACTAGAGACATAGTAGAAGTAGCAATATTAGTTTACCTTAGTATCTATCATTCCAATCCAGACTGGTTCATTATTGTTACCATAAATGAGTGATTCTACAAACACTTGCTCGTATCCATCGGGAATGCTTGCCAGCTCTGCTCCTTGGCTCTGGCACACTGATCGGGCCGATGCAAAGTCTCGCTTTGAGGTGTCCATCATATAGCACGAATCACCATACTTCCGGAAGTTTGGTTTGCCACAGAATTCAATGTTGTCTGGATTTTTAGGCAGCGAAGAATCTGGGAATAGTGAAAGACATTTTTTGTTTACTGTAATTAATATGCGCTATACAAGTACACAACCATTACCATGACTGATGTGATCTCTCAGTGTCAAGTAATTATAGATGTCTGTTTGGCTACACACAATTTACACCTTATACGGGTTTCCAACCATTACCATTGGTTAGACAAGCCAATCAGGGATAGACAATTCAGGATATTTACATTTTTGACAGGCATAAGTGTAAATTAATCAAGTTGTAAGAAACCATCTTTCTTCATTAAAATATGCTGCATGACAAATATTCAAGATTAAAGATTCATTTATTGGCTTGTCCATAAAAAGATACAAACATATATAAAAATGGACATTTTTTGTTTCAAATATATGTATTTCATCATAAATGTTGTTGGCTTTCCACTGTTGAATATAAATAAATGTAATAAAACAAGACTTTTTATTCCTTGTTTTGCATACTTTTTTTTTAAAGATTATTGGAGGAGAGCTGAATAAAAATAAAAATAAAATTTGGTTTTCTTATTTGGGTGGGTTTGCTAAACAATGTATAAAAAAAGTCTTGCCTAAAGTAAATAAAACTAGATAAATTCATAATAATAAGCAAATAATGAAAAGATTGTTTAATGTTGCTCACCTAAAGGCTGTTGGCAGACATATGCATTGAGAGGGCTGCATCCTGCATCATCCCAACGTCCAGTCTGTTCTCCATTATTTATCATTTTTACACAATTCTGAGAGCTCTTTTGAAAAATAAATGATAATATAATAACATATTGAAAATAATTAAAAACTAATAACAATAATAAATGGAGATCACAACAAAAATTAATCCTGTTGACTGTAAGCTAATGCGCAATTTGGTTTGAAGTAAACCTAACATTTTATCAGCTGTTTCTGGTGACATAAATTTATCCATTGCCAAATGCTAATAAAACATTACACCATGGTGTTTAAGGTTTTATTAATAAATGCTATAATTTTTAAGGAGATTGAATCCCATATTGACTTACTCCATCAGGCAAAATAACGCCACTATCTGGCTCGCCACTAGCCCAAGCTTGAAAATCAACGCCAGAGCCATCTACCCAGTGAAATTTACCATCAGAGCCTGCATCAGTCAGACCTATCCAAATGTCACTATCTATTGACTTCAAGAATGTAGACAGATACGCTGCAAGAATAATAATAGTAGTAATGTAATGCTTTACAATGCTTTACACAAACTAAACCTCAAAATGAGGTTTAGAGATTATAAGAGTTGTTTGTTTGTGAGAAAAAATCCTGCAACACTGACAGGAATTTAACCCAGGACACTGGAATTGGAAGGCAAGTAACGATAATAATGATGAAAAACAAAATATTAACAATAATACTACATAATGAAAGGAAAATTGAGGCTGGTTACGTAACGTCGATGAGTTTCATTTGACTGGGTTGGACGACTCCATTATTTTTTTCGCTGGTATGTTCCATTAGGAATCTGGTTTATATTGTTTCATCCAGGTATGTATCATGAAATAGACCCAAATATTAACAATAATACTACATAATGAAAAGAAAATTGAGGCTGGTTACGTAACGTCGATGAGGTTCATTTGATTGGTTGGACGACTCCATTATTTTTTTCGCTGGTAAGTTTCTTTAGGAATCTGGCTTATATTGTTTCATCCAGGTATGTATCATAAAATAGACCCAAATATTAACAATAATGCTACATAATACTAACATGTAGTTCTGTCCACTCTCAATGAAGACTATGATGGTAATGATAAAAGTTGTATCATACCTTGGAGTTCATTGTTATGTACTGTTGCCAAGTCAGCATTCTTGGCCAGGCACATGCCTGTCTCTTATACACATCTAGATGTGTATAAGAGACAGATTCAAAGAGCACGCAAACTCTGCCTCTGCCCAGGACATCGAGGTCCTAGAGACTCCAAAGAAATAGCAATGCCTGCCATAAGGAACCCAATCATCACTTGGGCAGGTGCCAGGGCCAGGTGATGGAGTAACAGGCTTCTCCGCTGAAAATATTAAAAAAATTCATGAAGGTAAACAATACAAAAAAAGTTGCCCCACACCCAGACAGGGGTTGGACGACTCCATTATTTTTTTCGCTGGTAAGTTCCATTAGGAATCTGGCTTATATTGTTTCATCCAGGTATGTATCATGAAATAGACCCAAATATTAACAATAATACTACATAATGAAAGGAAAATTGAGGCTGGTTACGTAACGTCGATGAGGTTCATTTGATTGGTTGGACGACTCCATTATTTTTTTCGCTGGTAAGTTTCTTTAGGAATCTGGCTTATATTGTTTCATCCAGGTATGTATCATAAAATAGACCCAAATATTAACAATAATGCTACATAATACTAACATGTAGTTCTGTCCACTCTCAATGAAGACTATGATGGTAATGATAAAAGTTGTATCATACCTTGGAGTTCATTGTTATGTACTGTTGCCAAGTCAGCATTCTTGGCCAGGCACATGCTACGTGCATCAGACCAGCCAAGGCGATCGATGCTCTCGGTTCCGTACACTCTATAACAACGGTTGCTATGTTTGAACCACCCGTTTAGACAATTGCCTGTTGGCACAGGTGTTGGGGCTTTCGTAACAGGGTTTATGTTATCCTCAACCTTTTTGCAGACGAATGGGCCAAGAATTCCACAGGCTTGATCATTCCAGGCAGCCACTTATGTAAGGAAGTTTACAAAATAAGTTTTAAATATAAATTCATAATTAAATAAATTATAATCAATATTCAAGACAATGAATGTAATTATTATAATTTAAATATTAAGTATCAATAATATATCGTCAATATTTGCTTATTAGATTTACTAAAATACACTTTATATTCAATAATAAGTATGGTTTATCCTTTTGTATCAAATCAATCATCATTTTTATCAACCAATAATAATATTGATATAAAGTATGTATATCAATATTATATATATGAATTTGTACATTCTTTTTACTATTATAAATTTGAGAATCACTGATCATTTTTTATGAAACCAAGATATTTTAAAACTCTCCATGAATATAGATCAGTCTCCATACCTAAAGAGGGTGCTTTAATAAAAGCCAATATAATATTGTAGCTTACATTTTTGTACCTCCAGCTCCGCACACTGTTCAGCACCGTTGAAATCGTTAGGCTCATTCTTTGCCCAGTTTATGAAGTCAAATGGTGTACTGTCACTCCACCTATCAATAAAACACAATACATAGCAACCGTCAGAGCAATAGCTATCTGTTTATACCACATGATATAATTACACTTGAGATACTGTCGTCTTTACTTGAATGGATACAAACCTTGCTAAAAGCTGGTACAATATATAAGCTGTCACAATATATAAGCTGGCAGTAAAGATATACATGATGCCGCAAAGGGAAATTTGTATTTGCTTGTTCATTCGAATAATAATAATAATGATAATAATTATAATTTGCATTTATAAAGTGCACTTTGGTGGTGTCTCACAGCGCTGTAAGACAACTAATCGATTGGAACAGGTGTTTATTCAAATGCAAAAAAAATACTAATACTCACCTGTATGTTCCTCCTGCACTCTCTTCTCGTAGACCAATCCAATAAGATCCAACTGCTTTGTTCACCTAAATGAAGAAAATATTAGTTTATGTATTTTACAGTAAGATTTTCAGTCTGGATTATTATTCACTTGCATGTTTTGTTATTAGGAAGCAAATGAAAGCTATGCCGTCATGAAATGTAAATCATATGATAGAAAAAATTGGAGGAATTAACTGCTGTGAACCTGCAAGTAGGCAGAAAACATATAATGATGATGATACTATAATACATTGTAATGCAGTATAAAAATACTGACTGCTTATTAGGGGAATTTTATTTTATTTATTTATTTATTTATTGGTATATACACTCAAAATGCAACAGAAGTTGAAATTCTTATGAGTTTACAATATACAGTAAAAGCTAAAGTACCAAAAAAGAATCGATAACAATACAATATTACACATAAATAACATCGATAACAATACAATATTATACATTGGCAATTAGAATTAATAACTTGAATTATTCATTATATAAAAAACTAAAATTATTCAACACAATTAAATCAATATAAACAAGCATATTTAAACATACAGCATTGGAATTATGAGAAAATATTATACAATTACCAATATATAATACTTTTTATTATACAATTATTATCGTTACAATATTACAAATGTTCAAAAATATTTACAAAATACATATAAAAAATACAAAGATAACAAATAAAACAAATTATAAGTTAATCAAATGAGGCAATAAGGATTTTTAAAATTCAATAGTTCACAGAATTCATCGTATTCATCATATTAAAAAAATCAGTCATTCAATAACCGTATTGCAGAAGGAAGAGTTGAATTCGAATAATGGTTAGTCCTACATCTAGGAACATTGTACTTCTTAAAACTACGTAAAAATCTGTTGGGTCTTGGGTTTTCAGGAATCCAACTATAAAACCGGGTAGATGTAACCAAACCCTTACTAAAACTGGCTAACTCACCACATCGTCGTTTTTGAAGAGTTTCCATATTTAAATTGTTCAAAGTGTCTTGATAATCCGTGTACTTCCGGTAACCAATAATAATTTTTAAGGCTCGTTTCTGCACAAATTCCAATTTAGTACACTGTTGTTTCGTCAATGCAGAATGCCACAAAGGACTAGCGTACTCAAGCAAAGGACGTATATATGTAATATAGGTAAACACAAGGTCTTCAACAGGAGCACCATACCGTTTTAAAATATACAGCATGTATAGACGACGACAAGACTTAGTGATCATTTCATTAACTTGACAATCCCATTTCATATTTGCTTGTAAAAAGACACCAAGCAATTTAATAACCTCTTTCTCTTGCAACACATGATCTCCAATTGATAACGGAATAAAGTGTGGTTCATTCTTCATAAAATGAACATGCATTACATTGCACTTTATTGGATTAGGCAGCATGTCATTTTGAGCGCACCAAGACTCCAAAGCGTCTAAATTTTTCTGAAGAGTTTGGCCAACCGCTAATGCATTTTCATGAGGAATGCGGGCAATCTCACCAATGGTCAAATCATCCACAAATTTCCACCTCTCTGGAACATTATCTAATAAATCGTTCACCATCACTGTGAAAAGAATAGGGCCTAGCTTGGTACCCTGCGGTACTCCACAAGTAACAGACTTGTATTCTGACACATTTCCATTTAATCTGACGCACTGTGATCTTTCAGTTAAAAAACTGCACACTAAAGGAATCACAGGAGGACATATTTCATACTTTATCAGCTTATTGATCAGTATTGTGTGATTGATACGGTCAAAAGCTTTGCTAAAGTCCACCGTACAGATTGAAGCATAGGACCTTGGTACATCAGTACGTGACAGAATTCTATCACAGAGATCAACAAGATAATGCGTGGTAGAACAACCTTTTGAGTTTCCGAATTGCTGAGGGTCCAAATGCTTTTTAAATTCAGTGGTGATCCACTCTGCAATAAAACTCTCCAAAATACGTCCAAAGATAGGTGTAATAGATATTGGTCTAAATTCATCCGGTAGAGATGCATTTGAAACTTTCGGCACTGGAGTAATAGCTGCACACTTCCACACTTCGGGAAAAATATGGGACCTCAAACACAAATTAAACAGATCTGTCAACAGAGGAGCCAACTCAGTAGCAAATTCCCGGATCAACTTTAGGGGAATATCATTAGGATGACTAGACTTATTCACTTTAATACGGGGCGTCTGGTAATTTTATTGGGTTTAGGATGCGCCTTTACCGAGTTGGGGTTTAATAAGACACTAGAATGATCACTACAGGCTACAGGTGGTAATTTAACAGGTTTCTGGTAAGTATATAGGGAACTCAAGACAACCTTATCAAGACAGGATCTACCTCTAGTAGGAAAATTAACAACCTGTTCAAAGGATGTATGTTGTAATAACGGATCAATGTTAAGGTCATTGAGGTCACCCAAAATACAGAAGGAAACATTATCTCTGGAACTTTGAATTTCATCAATCACAGAACATATGTGATCTAAATGTTCACATATGGTGAAATCAATGGTGAAATCTATTGCCCCGAGGTGATGTGGACTACTATCTTCACGAGGGCCAAAGGCCCAAGGGAAGATAATAGGCTACAGTTTCTACATCACTGAGGGGCTATAATTTCACTGTTCCCTCAAATCTAGAGCAGGCACTATTTCTTGTATATACAGTACCTTATACATAGATTCCACAAGGCCTAAAAAATGTAATGAAAAGAGAACCCACTAAGTAGGTCTAGGTCAAAGGGCCAATCTCTATCTTCATAAAGGTTGCAGTTCCGTTTACCATCCATATGTAACTTACACAGCTACTTTAAGTGGGGCCTAGAGATTACATGCGATAGGGAAAAATGTTGAAGTTATTACCTGCTTTTTAACCAATGAGATGCCTGGAATCTATGTATGCGGTATAAATTAGATTTATATAGCGCTATACCAAAGTCTCAAAGTGCTCAAGATGTGGATTAGCTTGTACAAACTTTCTTTTCCTTAAGGGTCACTTCGTGTCCAAGCCAAAATGTTAAACCGGTGTCAGCTACTCTTGTCTGTCCACAACAGGGGCTGTACGTATTTTTACATTGTGACGATTCTGACAAATATTATTGACAAGCAAGCAGGCTGAACGATGACAATGCAAAAAGAACACTTAACTGTTCAGGCACCTGACTTGCTGTAATATAAACCAATTTTACTTACTAGTCTAAAGATGAAAGATTGTTCACCGCTATCATGAATCGACGCCAAGTTACCACCTTGACTATTGCACCAGTCCTCAGCATCCTGCCAGCCTTTGCGGCCAGCGCCGTAAGGCTTACTAGCATAGTAACAATATGGTGCACGATGCACCCAAGCGCTGTTCGATGGGCAAGGTGGATCTAAAGGAAAGAAAATATATCTAACAAACAATGGACCACCAGGTCTTATAAATTCTACTGGAAATATGTTGGTGATGCTATGACATTAGATTGAAAATGACTACTACATTTATTTTATTATTATGATTATTATTATTTTTATTATCATTATTATTATTACTATTATTATTACAAAGAGTTTTAAAATCACAATATAAATTACACTTCATAAGTGTGCTTGCATAATTATGTACAAAATTGTTTTATGTTAAGAACATTAAAACAACAGAATTTTGAAAATGTTTATTAATAACTGAAATTTTACGATCATATGTACATACTTTAATACATGTACATTTTAAAATAATTTTCTCAGTTGTAATATTTCAGGGAGAGAAAATTGTTACAACTTCTAACAACTTGTTACATTTTGTCTACTTGTAAATTAGGTATTAAATATGCATGCCTTAAAAAGTCCAAGGTTCACATAATGTGAAAAACAAAGTTTAGTTTGGTCACATAGCTCATGTAACATAGTAATCAAAAGAGTTTGGGAGTCAAATGGTCGAGCTTTTAGCAGGGGGGCCGCAAATATCGGCGCTGGTTTGAACAGCACGCTCACCTATGTTTCTGGTGGTAGAACAATTACTCTTCTCGGATAAAGACTATAAACCGTAGGCCCAGTGTATACAATGGCTTGTGTGCACTATAAAGAACCCAGTGCATCCTTCGAGATGAGTAGGGGGATACCCCGGTGTACTGGAACAGACAGCCCCTGTGGTGGACGAGAGTTGCTGGTACCGGTTTACCAGGTAGTACAGACATCAAGGGACCCTTAGTGGCGAAGAAAGTCATTGATCGAGTTCCTAGTCCACATATCAAGCATCTGATGAACTCTGTCCATGCGGGTCAACGAATTTGAATGATTTGTGTTCTTCAAATTATTTTATTTTTTTGCTTGTGAATTTAACGTTGTGGTGATGGCTTTTTAAAATTTTATTTTTGAATAACTTTTTAATGATTTGTAAATTCTTCGAATTTCAATGTTTTATGTGTACTGGACCCTCTGGGAGAACAGTAATTTGTTACTGAAGAGAAAACCCAGTATAAAGAACAAATAAATAAATTAAAAAAAAATAATCTGAGCATCCTATATTAGATGGATACGGCTCTATATAAAACTACTATTATTAATTATTATTATTAATATTATTAATTATTATTATTATTGTTATTAATAATAAAAACAATAATAATAATAAATTATAACAATAATAATAATAATAATAATAATAATAATAATTATTATTATTATTATTATTATTATCGTCATTATTATTATTATTATTATTACAAAAGGCATTGGGCCTAAATCCCGATTGGGAATATACAATTTTTTTTTTTATAAATACAGTACATATTTTTATATATTCTTTGTAATATTATTTTTATAGCATGTACCTGCACCAGGATCTCGTGTTGGTGTTACAGGCGTCACACCTTTATCGATTTTACAAACCCAGTTGCGGGGAGTTGAGCAATCGATGTCGTTCCAGCCTCGTTGTCCGTCATAAAACATCTCAACGCATTCTTCAGATCCACTGTCATTTGGCTCACCATCTCCCCAATTTGTATAGTCAACAGGTGTATTATCACTCCATTCAAAACCTTTGAATCAAAACAAATAAAACACTTTCAGTAGGTCACAGATTAACAAACATTTATTATCGTCATTCCTATTTAAAATTGTTACATTTTTTCTTTTTCTCAAATAAGATAGTATAATACATACTTCAAGTATTGAAATGCATGTCATCGTGTCGGGATTCAATATTTCGAGATTAATTATGTCATCATCAGGAATTCCTGATAATTAATGTCAAAATATTGAATCCCATCATGATGGCATGTATTTTTTCTTTTTGTTAGGTTAATTTATTATATTTTTCACAGATATCTTAGTTAAGCCTGGCAATCAAATTTGAAAGCAGTCTGTCCTTTAAATCCTCATTTTATCCCTTCGTTATTTTGCTCTGGAATAGTCTACCACAATCAGTGGTAGACTTGAAAACTATTTTCAAATTTAACAAAATTGAATTGAATATTTTTAAAAGTGAAACCCTTTGCTGTCTTGTTTGCATTTTATGTTACTTTTTTTTTAATGATTGTCTTTTGATTAAGTTTAGTTAAGGGGAGACTAATCATTAGCCACTAGACATGATGACTATGCGGCTATCTGGCCTCCCAAGAATTTTCATAAATAAAAAAATAAAATAAATAAAAAAAAGTTTTCAATGATTTACAGATAATTTGCCAGAAATTTATGGGTTATGTGCAAAGACTATCAGAATGGTACTACTTAACAATCTGTAATGGCAAAGAAAATTAAGATTAGAAATAAAAAGAAAATAGAAATTTGAGAAGTAAGTTGCATGCAGTACTGTACCTCCCTCAATGACTTGATCGTTGAGCCCAATCCAGTACCCTAGCCAGTATGCATTTTCTTGATCTCTAATTCCCAATAATAAAAAAAAAAATCATTAATAATCATTTAACATTATCAGATTACTGAAAATAAACAATAATAATCATTTTGTCATTATTGCATCACGTTTTTGTGAACAATTTGTTGGCACCAATCGTCAGAGGTCAAGGTGCCGGCAGCCTACATGTTTATATATTTGAAATTGAACACAAAATCACTCCCTGAGCATCTGTTATAAATGAAGTTTACAGAATACTGTATCATTCTACCCTATACTTGTTTGTTTTTTTTTGTGTGTTCAAGATACAAGAAATTTTATTTGTCCTCATAGAACAACATACAAAGAAATTTTGGTGGACCAAAATGTGAGGTGTTCGAACAAAACCCAGACAAAATTGCATGAATATTAAATATTAATTATTACATTAATTACACCTTTTTCAGGTAAGTCAACTTCAATGATTGTACATCGTGTTTTTCCATTTTACTTTCCTTGGAGCACACATGCAAATCCAATCTTCAATCATAAATGTATATGGGCTCACAAAAAAAAAAAATTAAGTTAAATGATGATTTACTTACATAGGAGTGAATCTACTTAGTATGTATGCCTCCTCCGCTGCACTGTGGAAACTAGCAAGATCGCCTCCCATACTTAAGCAAGCTTGTCTGGCATCCAACCATGTAAGACGATCTCTAGATGATTGTACCTCATTCGGCTAAATAAAATTTTAAACATAATTGAAGAGCTGAATAAATATTATATATTTCTCTCCTTTATAACTTATATGAATTAAATACTAACCCATTACTAAATAGATTTTATTTGGTCAAAATATTAGGAAAATCAAAGAAAGTTCATTGCAATTTGCTCTTGAAATCATTTCACATTTCAGTGTTGTTTCTTAATTGTGTTTAATGGACTTTGTTAATGTAATATTGTTTACTGTATTCACGTTTACATCTTTAGAGTCCCCTTTAGCTGTAAAGGAAAGTGAATAAATAAAAAATACATAAAAAAGGAAACAAACACAAAACAATTACAGGTAAACAATAAAAAAAATCAACAATAAACAAACAAATAAAAAAACAAAAAAATAAATAAATAGGAATCTCACCATGTAGCAGGAACTTCCATAGCCAATCCATCCTGTAGCACAAGAACGATCATTTGGCTGCGTTACAATTGGTGGATTTGTAAAAGGTGGGCGAGTGTAACCAAGTCGACTCTTTTCGCAAATAAAGGGCAGGCCAAGTGCACAACTTGCGTCAATCCAGAAGCCGGCAGAGTCTCCAGACGTGATGGAAACACAGAGTCCGGCACTGTCATCTAAATTAACAAAAAAATGTGTGAAAACAGTGATTTTCATCATATACTTTACCACAGTTATGATAAGCTTCTAATGAACAATTCTTCAATATAATGGCCTGTCCAGATTATCAAATTTTCTTGTACAAAATACTGTTGTATGCCCATATATAGTCCTGATGTGCCTATATATGGTCATGATGTGATGTCATCATGCTCATATATAGTCCTGATGTGCCTATATATGGTCATGATGTTTGATGTCATCATGCCCATATATAGTCCTGATGTGCCTATATATGGTCATGATGTTTGATGTCATCATGCCCATATATAGTCCTGATGTGCCTATATATGGTCATGTAGAAGCATGTGGTGCAGCATGTAAGACATTGGACTTTCAAGTGGACAGTTGGAGACAAACGCTCATCACACTGCTTGTCTACTTGGGCATTTGCCTCTCTTCACCCAGAATAAATGTGTACCTGGTAGGTGGTGAATGATTCGGGAAAATTAGTGCTAATTATACACACATAACTAGGAATACTTCCCCAGGGAGCAGAGGGGGTTGCACGTTGTGTATGATTGATTTTGTATCCAATGACCAGGGAAAAAGTGCTGCGAGATTCCAGTATAGAGCGCTATAAAAATACTGAAATTAATATACCAATAATGAATGTTTACGAGTGCAATTGGGTAGAATATTTCATGAAGTGAAAGACTGGATGATCTATTCAACAAGGCGTAGTCGAGTTGAATACAACATTCAATCTTTCACGGAATGAAATATTCTACCACATTGTATGAATTAGAAACATTCATTATTTGTTTTATACTTTTTTAGTGTCTCTCAATGTGAATTAGCATGAATGCCATTTGCAAATACTTTACTGGTTTGCACACTGACTAACCTGGTTGTCCTTGAGCCCAGTTTGTGTAGGTGACTGATGTACCATCTGACCATTTGTATGTTCCTGGGGTTGCACTGTCACTCAAACCAATCCAGAAATTCATTCCATTTGATAAACTCAACTGGCTAGCAATAAATGCTTGTTCATACCTACAGATCAAAATGATAGTTTTTTAAATTGCTAAAAAGAGTGAAAACATCTTTTTCCTGTTGAGCCAGAGCAGTATGAACTTTTCCCACCTCAGGCTCAATTTTGCATGTTAGTTTCATCTGGGTCCAATTGACATTTACTTCATTCTTACATTTCAAATAATTTATATTTTAACCTTGTTGTTTATGTTTGTGATATTTTTATGTGTTCTGGGGAAACCACTTGATAGTTGATTTAGTTTGCTTATTGGTTTTCCTCTCTACTGTTGTTGCTTCTCATTGCGTCTGTCTGTTCTTGTCTTTTGTATTTTTGACAGAAATAATGAAATGAAATTAACAGTATTTGTGGCAACCAGTCCCCAAACGAGGACTTAAATTGAAGTGAAAATAAATAATCCCTATGTCGCCAACAAGAACAATAAGGGAGGAGATTCCCCCCATCCCTGAGCTTTGTAATACATGACCCTGTTCTGCCTCAGATACCTAAGAAAATATAAAGTAAATAGTGCCCTCTCTTACTGATCATGAATGGACATTAAATATCCACCAAATGCTTTGCAATTATTTTCAGCATCACTCCAAGATTTAGCATCTGTCACCATCTTAATGCACTTGTAACTATGACCCATCCAGCCCTGTGGTAAAATATAAAATGAGAATCAAAACAAAAGCACTCAACAGATGTGAATTAAATCAGGCATTAATGGGTAAAAAGTGGACAAAACTTCTGCTAATTCACATTGTCGGAAAACAAAGTACATAGTGACAATCTTGTGTATTGTTTTTGACTTGTATTTGAGATTTGTTGCATTATTATTATTATCATTATTACACGCACATGAAAATCATCCTTATTCTTACCATCTCTATTCTTGTCATCATCATCATCTACAGTACATTCAGTTTTCCTTGCCATTATCATGATTACCCCCGTCATACCATTATTAGTTACAATCAGCATCATCATCACAATCACCATGACAACAATTATCATCACTACCACCACAAACAGTGTTGTACTGTAGTAATGATTCATCAGTTACTCACCTTCTTTTATATTCTAGAGATGAACATTTTATATTAATATTAAATTCTGACACAATTATTGAAGTAACCAAGGAGTGTAATAAAGGAAATACAAGTCTCCCTCCAGTAAAAGACTACTTCTGGGAATGGGGTTCCCATGGTCTTTAGCAGCTATGGTCTCCAATTAAAATAATAAAGATAAGACATTTGTTAATTTGGGACCACAGAAAATTTGTCTTTAATTGCAGGCCGTAGCAAAAGGGAGGGGGGAATTTTATGGTTCGGGCAAGCCCCTTTTTTAGCAAAGCCCCCCCCCCCACTTTTTTTTACCACATTTATAGAGGGTGACCCTTCTAGCGTATACTAGAAGGTCGGCTGATATTCAGGGGCCTTTTTGAAATAATGTGATGCTTTATCAGCGAATTATGAGGCTTAGGGAGTGGAGTAGTTTTAGTTGTAAGAAAAAGTCCTGCTATCACAGGAATTGAACCCAGGACCCTGGGATTAGAAGTCCAGCATCTTAATCACTAAGATATGCAAGTCCACTCCAAATTTGGAGTGGAGTGTGGAGTGAACCCCCATCTTAAAAACCAAATGAGTCCGCAAACCCAACTAATGCACTGCACACCCAACCAGACTCAGATGAAATGTTTGGCTACAGACCTTTTCCAAACATAACTGCTTTTATAGCATTAGACCCATAGAACACAAAATTTCTCTGACTAAGTGTTTCGTTGACCCCAATGGGACTTCGCCCCTGGATCCCACGCCCAGAGAACCCCTGCTTGGTAGAACCTGGCTACGGGCCTGAATTGGAGGTGGTCTTTAATTAGAAGGAGACCTGATGATGAAATCTTTAGTTGTTTACTTACAGCTTCGCATCCTGCATCGGTAGGTACTGCCGTGTTACCAACATCCATCTTTTTCATCTTGCAGATACTGGTGAAAGCTCCTGAACAAACATTGTCATTCCAGGTACCCTAGAAATAATATGCAATCTTCAATCATCAATCAATCAATTATCACTCTAAGTATCTACGTGGTTTACTACAAGCATCAAAATATATTATTACTTATTATTACCATGCAAACATTCAAACAATGTTTCTAAGTATCTAATAACTTAATTCAGTTCAATTTTTATTGTCTAATAATACACTAAATTCAGTATCAAACAACTTACGTCCCAGTATCGCAACTCAATACAATCCTCCCCTGTATTCCAATCATCAGGCTGGTTTTGTCCCCAGTACGTATAATCGACCTCTGACCCATCAGCCCATGCAAAGGTTCCTTCATTGGTGTTATCACTCATGCCAATCCAAGTGGAGTGACCATACATAACTGCAAATAAAATAATAATTACTAATTAGTACTTAATAGAATTTAATACATTTAAATTTATCCAATAGCACATTCAGTAATCACAATCTTTTTTTTTAAATCATGCTTTTTTAACACTGTTTATTTGATAAATAATTAAATTTTCTTTTGTTTTCGTTTGTGGCGCCCTGGGTCAGACTGTTCCACTTTATTTCAAAGGGGTGTTCCGTTTTGGGAACAATGGCAGTTAGTCGGTTTATCCAGGTAAGTATTCACGAAATAGACTTCTATAGTAATATAATTTGCTTTGGCTGTTTCTGACCTTTGAATTGTAATCTTCTGTTCAATTTTATTTTATGGCCAAATAAATAAATTAAATGCTTGATAATTAACCCTTGATGACTGCAAGAAATATAAATCATACTTGGAAATTATTCCCTAATCTTTTATCAATCATTCTACCAGACATGCTCTATGTTTAATAATCCATGATACAATTGTGTTATCGCTAATCTTCTTACCATTTTGAACAATATTCATCAAGAAATCATTCTCTCCTTTATTGTGAACAGACGCCAGATTAGCACCGCGATAACGCTGACTGCATTTGTCTTGAGATATTTGCCAATTGGCTACCGTATTATCAGCAAAGTAGCAGTAGTTACCGTACTCAGACCAGCCATCAGGACAGCCATAGTTTCGTGGTAGGGTAGTGGGCGGGGCATCGGTTGGTACATTCATATCTAGAAGTAATTAAAGAACTTAAAAACAGTAATGGCAGGAGTGGATCCAGCAGGCGCACGTCGAACATGTCCCCCCGCCGCCATTTTGCCACTAAATTTGAAAATTTTAATGCATATCAATGTTGTAAACTTATTGAAATAAGTGCTACTAACTTCTATTCTGAAAATGTTGTGTGCCCCCCCCCCCACTCACCCACATTTGAAAAAGTCCTGATCGACCTGTGAATGGTTACTAGATAGTATAGTGGGCATGGCATTGATTGGTACATTTATATTTATGGCATGCTAAAAACTTTATTTGTCCAAAAGGAAATTTGTTGCATTAACAAAAATCATAAAAATTAGAAGAAAATACTTGCACATTAAAACATAAATACAGTTATTCTACATTCTACAACTTTTTGAGCAACTGCCAATTTTTTGGACTAATTACCCTAATTAAATATATTAAATTTAAAAAAAATAAATATGTAGTTTATTACCTCTTTCATAATGATCATATATGTCTCCTGTGTAGGCCGTTGTAAGGCCTCCAGCAGATTCTTTGTCGTATGAACTTAGCTGGCATGTTTTCTGGTTGCGATTGTAATCAAAACTCTTGCATAGGAAATCTGTTGTCGATATGCACCTTTTAGCGCAGTCGTTTGGATACATGTTGGTCAGGACTACATTGTCAAAGCCATCAATATAAGAATAATGGTAGGAGTCAAAATACTTGTTGATGTAATCTGTAAAATAATCAGATTTATGTTCCATTCTAAGTCAACAGGAAAAGTAGAAGCAAAAGCAATTAGAGAACAACTCTCACAGACCACTAGAAATAATAACAACAATGATAATATTTTTTGTGTACGAAAAATGATTATACTACTGTACTTGTTATTATAGGGTTAATGGATAACTATCATATATACCACATACAAAAATTCCAGTCACTTGATTGGCTAAAAAGTGGGTAATAACTTCAACCATCACTCCTATGACATAGATTTGAATAAGAGTTCATAAATTCCTGGAAAAAAAAGTACTATCAAGTTTAATTTACAGTAATTTTTGCCCCGTTGCAATGTTATCTCTAGGCCCACTTATAACATTGCTATGAATTTTTGATACGCACGGACGGTAAGGGGACACAACCTCTACAATGGTGAGAGAGATTGCCCTTTGCCCGCCTAGACCTAGGTATTAAGCCTAGGTGAGTATTCTTTTTTATTACTTTTTTTTAGGGTTCGTAGAATCTATGTATGAGGTATATAAAACAAATATTGACTGCTCTAGATTTGGGGAATAGTGGAATCTATAGCCCCTCGGTGATGTGGAGACCGTAGGCTATGTAGAAGGCTATGGTATCCACATCACCTTGGGGACAATAGATTTCACCATTTGTATACTATCCCCTTGCATTTTCACCGTTAACAGTAACCACTTAGCTCACAAACATGACTTATGTATCCAATTCAATAATAATTATTTTTAACTTCTCTTTAAAAATATAGCCTAGATATATTTTTAGATTTTGGGACAGATAAGCTTAGGCAATAACGTGGCTTACGATCCTTCTCGCAGATGTACCCGATGAAATTCTTTTCACATTTGTGATCATTCCAAACACCTTGATTCACGATCAATTCCCCACAGTTCTCTCCACCTGCAAACCGCCCATCATTGTTGGGTTCACCTGACAAAAAAAATGCAGCAATGTATATAATGTATGTATACCAACAAGTAACATGAATATACATTTTAACATTGGCAAGAAATTTAATAGAATGTGCATCTTGGAAATAGTAAACTAATTTATTTCAAACTAGGCCTATAATATAAAAAATACAGAGTATGTTTTTAAGATATTTATAGTTAAAGACCTGTTAAAGTTATAATCATTTGATTCTACCAATAAACAGAAAATAAGTTTTATAGGTCGTTCAGGAGTTAAAATGAGTTATTTGATTTTAATCTAGCCTTCTTGAATATGACCATGGGGTATAATCAAAAGATCAGAATTTATGTTCAAATAAGTTTAAATTCTGATAAAATAGATAGGTTTCATGCTAGTTTGTTTTTTATTTTAGGTTTAAAATTATAAGATTGACATAGACCTAATTTGGTGAGAGTGGAATAATAAATAACTAAACAATAAATAGGCCTATTGTGAAGTATACTCTAATACATATATGATTTGTTCTCCACGCTCGTAGTAACAGTTACTAGCTTTCTTATTTTTGAAATTGAATAAATTCAAAAGGTACATACCACTCTTCCAGTTGAAATATACAAAAGGCATACCGTCACTCCACTCCCAGCCCCCTTCAAGATTTAGATCATTGGCACCTATCCACATGGTTGGCTCAGTAATCCCTCTCAGAAGAGCTAATAAAAAAAGAGTTAACAAGAAAATACAAGATAAATTTCTATCACTCACATCAAGAAAAACCTTTTCTGATACGGAATAAAGAAGACACTACTATACAAAACCAAACATTGGTCCTATAAACAGTTATGTTGAAGATATTATTATTTAGTACAAAGCATATCCTGGCATTAATATTAAACAAAATGCTTCACTGGTCATTGTTATCAGGTAAAACTCTATAGAACAAAATATAATGTTCAGAATGAAAGGTAGGAGATATCTCCACTGACTTACATATAAGGAAATTTTCTTCTTCATATGATGTAATACTGACAAGGTCAGCGCCCTCTATGAGGCATTGCTCTCTTGCGCCGGCCCAGTCTTTGTAGTCTGATGGTCGTAGAATATAACATTTGCCCGATGAACTATCGTAGACCCAGTCGATACCGCAACGAGTGTCAAATGCACCTTTCAAAAAATGTAATACATGGGATTCAATACCATCAATGCCAATGAGAATTTTTTATTTCAGTTCTATATGCTTTGGTAAATACTGGCCTGTGAAATGGTATCAAATTTGTTCTTGTTTTAGCATCATGAAAGTATTTTGTGAGATCCCTGAAAAAAAAGAATTGCTTTGCCAAAGAAAAAGCCAGACCTAGTTCTTTTTGAGTTGGTTGGGCTTGGGCATTATTATTATATTATTATACTGTAATTTATTATCAACATAATAACTGTCATCATTATCACAATTATAGTTGCCATCATTATCACCATCAACATTACCATCATCCTATATTTTGTATACTGTAAACCATTATTCTAATTACTAGCAAATTGAGAGCTTACCAGTTGGAAGTGGAGTCTGTGTGTTTACAGTGCCATCATCAACTGTAACCAAGGAAAATATAAAACATTTAACAACGATTATAAACAAGTATACAATAGCAATTAACATATAACAAAGTATTTGATACACTTATGAAATTTATTCATTCATTGCTAACTGAACAAAATTTAAACTAAAGTTACAAAAATCAGTATTGGTGTTGGTAGTTTATGAGTGTGATACTGGATTAACTTTCTATCACCATTTTCTTTTAATGAAACAAGGCACTGTTTATCAAAGTTAATAACCATTTTCAATTTTAACTTTGCTGCCAGGGCCCCAAAGGGAAATCAGTCTTTCCGACTGATTGTGTCATCCTGGTTAAATATTATAATAAATAAACAAATAAACAAACAAATAAATAAATAAAAGTAAATAACAAAAAATAAATAAATGCGTGTGTGGCTCCTCTTTTTTTTTTTTATTGTTTTTATATTATATTTTTACAATGCTATTAGATGATGATTATCAAGTTAATTAGTCAAGATATTTTATGTTTGAATATACATGAAGATTCTTTAGTAACAAGACAGAACTAAACACACTTTTTGGTTTTTTGCAGACCCAGCTCTCTTCCCTGTCACAAGTCAGATCATTCCACATTCCAACCTTGTAGTAGTTGATCTCAAGATGAACACAATCCTCGTTGCCGACATTGTTAGGCTCACCAGGTGCCCAGTTAGTGAAAGACACCTTAAAAAAAAACCCAATTATTTTTGCTGTGTAGAACCAAAATACCCAGGACTAAAGGTGGAATGATGTGATAATATCAAATAATGAACTGCACTGTTACAAACATTTAGGGATACCTCAGCATTTGAATTAGATATCTATTTAGTCGTTTACTGATGGGGTAACATGTTCAAAAAACACATAATTCAGAAAACAATTCAATTTGTAACTAATCATGACTAAGGGCCGAATTGCAATATTAAATTACAATAATGAGAACATTAAAATTATCACTAGTTTTTTAAAAACTTAATTTGGTATTTGTTATTACTTGTTTTCACAAAAAAAATATATGCAGAGGTAAGTAAATAGACAACAACTTACTGCTGATGAATCAGTCCACTCGAAGGTGCCTTCACCATTACTATCGTGTAGGCCAATCCACATGTTATCCTTAGCAACATCTGCTCGCACTGGTAAGAAAAAAATGGCATAATTGGAACTCAATGAATACATTGTAGAACTGTTTAATTGATTATAAACCAAGTGCAATTTGATGTAAACTTACTGCGAGCTTTAGTCGATGTTATCAACATGAATTTGTGCCGTGTCAAAATACTATGTTACTGAATACAAGTGAACATAGGTTACGGTAGCAGAGAGTTAATAATGAGTTTGGATTTCCTGAGTAGAAATATATTATCAAATGATAAATTCTCAAAATCTTCTGTCTATCCCTGAGGATAATTCCAAATAATTCCAATTACCTGATAAGAATGACTGTTCATCAGATGATAAGATGCTGGTCAGGGATGCCTGCATGCTTTCACATGTTGTTTTGGCAGCAGTCCAAGTCTTCGGGTTTGTCCCAAAATAATAACAACTATCACCAAACAAAGCCCAGTTAGGAGAACAACTTCCAATAGCTGAAGTATAAAACAGATGACAAAAATAAGAAAAATATTAATTTCAAAGTAATTACAAAGGTATCAGTTCTATGACATCTAAATGATAGAGATTTGTTTATTTACCCAATTTTTATAGCGCCCTTTTCATGAGTACTCATGTTCAAATGCGCTTTACATTAAGGATACAAATAGAATAAAAAAATATAAATTTAGAATAATATTACAATTATTATCGATTATATACAAGTTAATTTAAATAATTAGATTGCAAAATTAATAATGAAAATATTATAAAAACCTTAAACTACATTTAAACTACAATAAATTACCAGTCAAAATATAAACAATTGAGAATATCTCAAATTCATAGATTAATTACAATAATATTCATAAAATGATACAGTAAAAAATAACTTAGAAAAAAATATGGGTCCAGTATATACAGATTTATTAACCGACAAGATTGTATGAAAAAAGTTATAAAAATCTTAAATTTGCACATATCTCAAATCTAGGCATAGATTTCAATATTTCGGAAGTAATATATTGATACATTATTAATAAATATATATTAATTATTGATAAAATTATTATTATTATAGAGATCAATTAACTTACTTTTAGAAGGAGGTATAGACTGTACTGGTGCTCCTGGAAATGACAATTTTTGAAATTATTCTTAAATAGATTAAAGGTCAATAAATGTTTATCTTAATCACCCCACCTCCCACCCATCACACACTTACAAAAACATTGATCCCTTTGTACCTTTGTACAATTAACCAACATTTAATGAATTAGTTGCATATACAACAGTTATTTTGTTGATTGGCTTTAAATTACATAGTGTACCAAAAGTTTAATGATTATGTTATTGCCATGCAAAGCTTCACATAATATTTGGCTTTAAATAAACAAACCTGCTTTGATCTTGCAAATGAATGCTTGAAGTACATAGCAATTCTTAGTATCCCAAGCTGCATCAGTATTATCTATCATTAAAAACAATAATATAAACAACTTTATTCATATTTAGAAATTCAAATAAATCAGTTTAATAAATAAAATTTTAATTTTCTTGTACTACACAGTATGAGCATCCTTTCATTTACAATCACAACAACAACTTCCAGAGTGCTCACGATTCAGCTTGTTGGTTTTTATTTTGTATAAATTAATAAATTTGTTATCATATTGTTTTTCTTTTTATTAATAATTCAGGCATATAATACAAATAATATTGCGTCCCACAGATGAGGAGAGAACAAATAGCTAAAGCTAATAGCGAAGGTCTTTCTAAAATCATATATCATCAAATCATACAATTAACAATCAATTATAATTTTAAATAATTATTACAATAGACAATGGGAAACACAAAAGAGTGAACATACCTGTGTAAATACTTCCACAATCTGTCTGACCTTTGACATTGTTAGGCTCCCCCGGGTTCCAATGGGTGACGGTAATTGCACTGCCCTCAGACCACACAAAATTTCCATCGCTTGCCACATCTGATCACACAGGAACATAAATTTTTTTTTAAACAATGAAAAATCCAAACATTCAATAAAATATTTCAATGATTATTATTTGTATTACTATAATAATAAACTATTATTTTTATAAACACACCTGACATTCCAAACCAGATGTCTGTAATCCCAGCCTTCTGTAGTTCTGGAAACTGACTGGCAATATATTCATTCTCACGATCACTAAAGCATTATTGGAAACAAAAATTAAAATTAAAGTGCATACGTAATCTTTTCTACTGACTATACGTGAAAATCAGGGGTGGCTATAAGGTGAAAATAAATGGTTTGAAAGAAATTGGATTAACAAGCTTCAGCCGAACAGAAAATGTTTGTGTCATCCTAAGTCAAAATATCGGTACTGTAGCCAGGTCTGAAATATGACTTTATTACCCAGCTATGTTTTACCACATTTGCGTACTCAACTCTTCCCATGTTATTACCCACAAATATGCTAATAGGCATGCTAAAAAGATGCAGCATAGCCTACCAGATACACTGAAAACTTGAAGGTAGAATGGTCCAAAACTTACGACAATATCGAGGTAATATATCCACCCTCGGCTTCACAGTAGTGTTTGGCATCAGTCCAAGTTTTCTTTGTGTTTGCGTTGATCTGGTAACAATTTCCATCAAAAAGCCTCCAGCCAGAAGCACACGTACCTGGCAAAGTTAAAAGTAGGAGGTAAGGGTAGGAGAATAACCCTTAACTTGCAGCGTCATTGAGCTGAATTGCGTATGGGCGTGCTCTGCTGTATTCATATTTTAATGTAAAAAGAAATTATTACAGGACAGTTTTTAAACATTAAATTAGAACAAAATAGTCACATGCCTAGTACTAGCCTACTTGTAAGCTAACCAATTTTCAAATGTCTCAAGGCTAGCTTAGGCCTAGCAAGACTGTCGCTATTATTACACCACTGAACCGTCCCAAGGACCCAGTCATAACAACAATGCACCAGTGCAGTGCGGCCGGGCTGGCCTCTGCAGTCCATCTCAAAACAAATGAAAAAAAAAATGGTTAAAATACCTTCATCTCTTTGGCAAATAAAATATAACGTTTGTGAACATGATGCAGTACTCCATTTACCGACAGCACCAGTAAGTGTATCAAGAACCTCAGCACAATCTCCTCCAGATCCATAATATCTGAAAAAAAAACCCCCATAAAAACACAATGAAGATTTCCGCCCTCTATAGTTCATACTACTTTGATAAATTTTAGTTCCCGGTGGCCAATGCTTGTTCGCACGTCCGGTTACCCGCCCGACAATACTTAAAACGCCCGACTACACGGAAAAATATACAATTTAAAAAACAGCGACATGGACAAGGAAATTTATTTCGTTATTTTCATAAAATATAAAATATATTTCCTTTTCCACACTGTTTGTGACAAACAAAATACCCCGATGATTTTTTTTTTTCGTATAGGCCTATTGGTATATGACATTTGCCACATAAACTAGTAGTATTGACAACGATTTATTGAAATGCTCACTTGTTATCCGGCTGACCCACAGCCCAGTTGTTATAGGAACCAAGCGATGCGCCGTCACTCCATTGGTAATCTGCAGCTGTATTGCCATTCTAAAACGAATAAAATACACAATCAATACTATATAGTCTAGGCCTATATAGGCTATATAAACAGGAACAGACGACGTTGTTTCTTGTACATAATATATAAGACGAGACGATTTTTCCGTTTTATTACTGTAATGTTATAATTGATACACAATTAAGTGGCATGTTTCATGCCACGTTCATCCTAATATTCACCATACTCCGGAAGAGAGTACGCTCTATGCTAAGCCATCATGTAGGCTACCCGTTGACCGACCGTCTAGACGTAAAATCAGACAAACGAAACCCACGTTGTTGGTATCTACTTACCAAATTTGTCAACCCTATCCAATATGTGCGTCGATAACGTGACGTCAATACATTTAAATAATCCTGAGTGTCCTGTGACTCAACTTTAACTAACTGTCCACCTACAAGTGAACATTCGCTAGCCGCATCACTCCACGATCGTTGCTCGTCAACTAATAAGTAGCACTGACCATTGTGGTTTGACCAGCCATTAGATTCGTCGCATTTTATTACAACATCTATATCAAAAGATCATACATGAAGAATAAATTAATTTCCAGATTTCAATAAATTATGTTAATTTCATAGAAACAAAAATACAAAAAAAAAAAAAAAAAATAAATAAAAATAAAAAAACAAACAAAACCAATAAGTCTTTCAATCATTTATATTATATAATGTAGGATCAAATTCACCATAATCATCAATATTCATTATCAATCATCATGATTATCATCATCGCCGTCATCATCATCCTTATAATCATTGTCAACACTACCACCACCCGCCATCACCACATACATAATACGGCATAACATAGGCTACTCTACGGTACAGGCGCTTATGAATAATCCCCTTGCTTGCAATAGTTTTCTTACAATACGGCATAATATACTCTACGGTACAGGTGCTTATGAATAATCCCCATTGGTTAGCGTCCTCATTTTCTTTGACAAACAACTGTTGTCGCCCATTGTAGTCATGATGTGCCTATATACATAAAAAGGGGTATAACCACCTTTTCCCCAGTCTAAATATTCAATTCAAAAACCTGCATTTCATTTTTGTCAAATATGCTTTTTTTGTCTTAGAAAAATCAGTTCTACAACATATCTAAAAAAGAAATTTTCATCTAGAGCCTGACTTAAGCTCAACCAGATCCGGAATCAATTTCACTTTAAAAAAAAAAAAAAAAAAATTAAATTCGACACTCGGCGCTACTGAATCCTTTGGAAATCCTTTGTGTGCATATTGAGGACTTACTCTGCTTTCTTGAACATATATATGGTTGTGGTAGCTGGCAGTTTTCATCGTTCCACTGGCCATTGTCTCTCAATTCTACGCAATCTTCACCGCCTAGGCCAGATCCATTAGGTTCGCCTGGTTTCCAACTCCTTGGTACAGAATATAAACAGCAAATGTTTAGGTTTACAAACTTGTAATGCACTACCGGTACTGTATAATGGATAGGCAACTCTAACAATGCAAAAATAAGTGATTTCTCCTTCCTTGAGGAGCGCTACATATAACCAGATCATCGTCGGTTTGGGTATCTAATTTGAGTTCGGGTTTGTCATAGAAACAAGACTACTGCATGGCTTGTAAAATATATAAAAACGTAGAAACAAATTATGGAATAAATAAATATAATATGAATGACAAATGGAAATACATAACACTAAAAATTTGTAAATTTAATATGATTAGGGAAAATGTGATTGGATGTCGTGTGAATAAGAGATAGATAAATATTCCAAATGATGAATGTTTAAAGAAGAAAGAGGATGAATCATTATGTAAGAATTTAGCAATTATTGATACTTACGCTTGAGAATTATCCAACGGTGTACCGTCCACCCACATGAAGTTGCCCTCATTCGAGGTGTCGTGTAACCCTATCCAGTAATACTTGCTTGTATCTTTTATTAAGCCTTTTAGAAAGTCCTAAACAAGAAAAAATAACAAGGTTTAGATGAAAATCACAATCAATATTCCGCCACGCCACATACGAAAAAATGCTGTTACCATTCTTACATGCAAACACCGGTTGCTCTGGCATACGCACTTGCTAAAAAAGGAGTGTAAGTGCGAGGAGAAATTATTAATGTTCTGATTGGTCAATTGATAGGTTACATAACTTGGTTCACAGGGCAATTTAGACGCGTTGACGCAGTATAGACACAAATTGTTTGCGTTTGCGTTAGGTGTTTAAACTGTTCTGATGTGAATCGAATTACTTAAATCTCAGCTGTTTTCAGTACGCCTAGACAATGCATTTAGTCTCACAAAACATAAAGCAAGATAAGTTATGTTCTTGCTCCTCATAGGGCAAAATTCAGAAAAAAAAATCGCAGTAGTCGCAAGTAAAGCTGTTTGGTTTGTTTCTCAATTGTCTGTAATTAGTTCAAATAAAAAAAATGTCAATGCACAATTTGCTATTACTCAAATTTTTACTTAAACAGTGTAAATATAACTCACGTTGACGTCTGTTGACGCAATAATAGCAAGATCTGCTTGTTGATTTTGACAGTTTTTTCTTGCCTCATCCCACCACCTTCGATCGGATCTTATCAGGTAACACGTGTCCCCATATTGCTTCCAACCTTGTCCACACTGCTGACTCATTACTGATGGCCGGCCAAGAAAAAGAAAGAATAATTGATTTTTGTTGAATGAGGATGGAAAGTATTACAATTTTGAATATTTAGAACTCAACCTAACAGACAGTATAACAACACCACGTTCATATCCAGAAATTTTACAATACCTGTCTCTTATACACATCTAGATGTGTATAAGAGACAGATATATAACTTTAATGTTGAATTAACGATTAAAAATTATATAAATGTATTGAAGAATGGATTTGCAAAGCAAATGAAAATGTAAAATCAATAAAAAGACTCCGATGTACAATCATGGAAGGTTGACTGAATTTAACGTTGAGGTTGACTTATTTAAACGTTGATAATGATAGAAGCAGCTATCGAAAATATACACCTGATGAAGCTAGCATTGACTGCCAGCGAAAGCTCGTGTCTAATAAAATTACACCTTCAAAGTTAGTCTGAGAGTGCTGCCTTTTCATTACTTGTTTAATTATATTTTATTAAATGTAGGTTCCGCAAATCTACTTTCAATCCTTGTATATAAATAGTAGGCCTAGGCCTATTTCATATTTCTGCCACTGATGTGGCCCTCATCAACCATATATTCTCGTCAAGTATTTGTTCAATAAACGGGGCTCATTCAATTAAGGGTTTCATTGAACACTAATAGGTAAATGAAAAAAATCCTAATGATGCTAGATACCCAGGCCTAACTATCCTTGTCGACCACGCATGCCCAGATGTCTTACATTAACCTGCACAGATAGGCCTATTTAAAGTAGTGATATGCAATTGTATCTTATCAGATTAGTTGAAGGGATGAAATGTACTCTAGGACAATTTGCTGACAAACATCCGCTACAATAATTTTTTACAACTTTATAGGATTTATAAGGTTTACAACATTTGTTTGTATACGTTTATGTTTAATAAACTCAATACTTGGAGTAGGAAGAAATTAAATAAGAAAAACAACCCGATAACTTCTGAATAGAAATAATCCTAATACGTATAAGGCGATGTATTGAAATTCTTTTTCTCAGATGGGAAAAAAACCCAAAAAGAAAATAATAATATTGAATGCTAGAAAATTATATAACGTGCATCATTAATTTTTGTCAGAAAGCCGATTTCAGGTAGTAAAAATATAAACCATGAGTTCGTATATAGTTGACAGTCAAAAAGTACCCTATAAGGAGGACCAAATGATGCCACCAGCGTTATAAAATGTTTTACGTATATGTCTACGTCTTATTCACATTCATTCGTCTGTGAATTAATTTACACTTTACTAGGCCTAGTATTTTATAAATAGTAAAAACCTAATACTGTAAATATATGGGTAAAACAATAATAAACAATATTCATTCGCAACATTCCAAGAAGTTTCTATTCGCGTTTATTTCAGTCTTTAAACGAGGCCTAGTATGTTATGATTAGCAATAAACCTAATACTGTAAATATATGCGTAATTAAAAACATAATAAACAATATTTATTCTCAACATTCAAAGAAGTTTCTATTCGCGTTTATTTAAACGCGTCTTTAAACGAGTTCTTTTCATTAAACGAGGCTTGTCTTCCAGTATGCGTTCAATCTAAAAACGATAAGTCAGAGAATGTTTTTAAATAGAGTGCTATAAGAAAAATGTTTTCGATCTGTGACTTACTGGAAGCTTTACTATTTCTCTTTCAGTCGTTACTTGCTTTTCAAGATAATATGCAACATATTCAACCTTACTGCCTATTGCATATACTTGAAATATAAAATAGATTACTGACTCGATGAATTTGTATAGATATATTTAAGTAAATTACTAGCGTTTAGTTGAAAATTATATTTATAATTATATAATTATATATTTTTTCACCACTTATTAGTTTACCGATTCTTATTATACACCACAACAATCCTTAATTTCTGTCAGAAAGACTATTTTCGGTGGTAAAAATATCTGTAAATTAGCAAAAACTATTGTATTTTTTTTATCTGTATTTATTTCTTATCCTTTCGAAAGAAAATGTTTTAACTGAATCGTTCAAACTTCTAACACAGGCAATATGCAGTATATGAATGGTTTACAAAATATGAATATCATTTAAAATATAATACATACCCCCAAAAAGGAGTGATGAGAGAATCAGTAACCTGATGATCATCTTCTTGTATTTGTGCTCGTTTGCTACAGAATGTTCACCATTGGATATATAAACACGGAGCAAAGACGAACCTAGTACGGGGTTGGGGTTGCTACCACTATAGATAAACAAGACACATTAAGATAAGAGGGGGCAAATCTAGACACTAGCTGGATGTGAACTTTCAAACATATCAACAGCAGAACTAAATATACTCTTGTTAATCATTGACACGTTGCGGTCCAAATTCTTTGACCTTGTGTTCTATCTGAATCTGGAGATTTTTTGTATAAACCAATTAATTTAATTTATACATTGAATTATTACAGTACCTGATATTTCAGGTATTCGATTCACAATTCGTTTTTAATTGTGCATGGTACTAGCCAGAGGCGGATTGAAGGGGGCCCAATCTGCCTGAAACTCCGGCCAGTGGAGGGAATTAGCGATGGGTGATGGAGTAGTATTTGCGTTGTATTATAAACGGTTTCGTTGTAGTTTCTTTGAGTTTATTAAGTTTAATTTTATTTTTTTCGTCCTTTAGGTTCACCATTAATTATAGACCTACGATTGCAAGATATAAAAGAATTGATTTTAATAAAGAATAGCAAAGTGGTCCACTGGAGGCCGATACCCACACGGTGTGCCCCTGTTATATCGCTTATCACATCTCTTGATAGTATTATGTAGATAAATAGACTGCTGACCCAATGAGGCTCAATCACTGTGTGATAGAGGAATAATGGTTACGAACACCACATTATACAAAATAGGTTAAATTCACAGATAATTGAGTTTGGATATGATAAATGTTATCACAATTATTCACGCCCCGGCATCACACTTCATCGCCCAAAACAACTGAGAGAACATTTACGGGCGTCTATGAAACAACAATTTTCCGAGGGAATTCCCCGGAGCCTCCTAGGGTAGTGTTGTCTCTCGATCGCCCCTCCCCCTTTCAGATACGCCTCTGACATTATTGATTTTTCAACTGACTTGTGTCACATTCATTCCATTTATCTGGAACCTCAATTGGCTACCGATATAGTATCACTTTCCAAATGTATACACGGTCAAGCAGTTCCAAAATATCTCCTTAATACTAGAGATGAAACCTTCTATACAAAGAGAATGATGAAAAAAATCATCTTGCCTAAATAATATGGTTAATTGGAGTATAATAACATTATTATTATTATTATTATTATTATTATTATTATTATTATTATTATTATTATTATTATCATCAACGTTATCATCATCATCATCAATACCATCACCACCACCTTCTACCTACTTTTGTACGTTGTGATGTGGGAAAACCCCCTTAAATTAAGTATGATCACACGCATCTGTCACATAGCAATCATCATGAATTTCTACATTAATAATCAAAATTAATATTCATCAATTTTCTTGTTCATATTACTTTACTGTACAGCATCACTATATTTACAGACGAATGTTAGAATAAAAAAAAACAAAATGATCATGATATCTAAAGAAGTATTTTATTACATCAACAAAAATCTAAATTAGTTTTCTTAAAATTATAATTGTATATACATAATTATAGTAGACAGCTTTATTTCAGATAAAATTATAAAACATTTGTATATTATATATATATATTGTATATATATATACAAATATATATATATATATATTTAAAGTTCATAGGATAACACTTTGTCTGTCATTAATTAATTTGATTTATATTTGTTACAAATGAATGTTTACAAGAATCAAGTGCAAGTAGGTAGCCTATCATTGCGGATTTATACCATTTTATTTATTTAATTTTATTTATAAAAACGTAACTCTTTAAAATATAACTACAATTTAAATTGCGTTTGATCTCGGGTATTAGACGGAGAACTTATTGCAAGCTTTCTTTGCTCATTTTTTCGCACAAAAATAACCGTCATAATTGAAACCAGCACAAGAACACATACAAATCCAACTGTAATGCCTGCAATAGCGCCCCCTGTAAGAGATTCACCTGTGATAAGAAAGTTAAAAAGAATTATTCCAACAGTATAACTCGGTATTTCATTATTTTTGTTTTGCTATTTGATGTTTTTTACTCACTTGGTGCTTTTGTTTTCCTGGCGGCTGGCTCTGTTACTGGAATTATAGGACCACCGCCACTATCTACAAAACAACAAAATTCATATTTATTTTCATTTTTTTTTCTTATACATGTTTATGTTTGATTTTTCTATATCCTGTCGTTTTCTTTTTTTCTTTTATCACAAATGCATTAAACATTTATTTGAAATGATACATGTGTTATAAAAATTGAAGTACAGTAGTGTTGAAACAATCACTATTATTGATTGGAGCCTTCCATTCTAGTGGGCTCCTGTTTCACAACTTTTTTCACCAAACACTTCTGCAGGACACCTGCCTATTTGCTTACCATAACTTCTACTATTCATGCGTAAGTTCTCTTAATGTAATAACTAATAATGGCTTCTTCAAGTTATTTCCCAACATTGTCAATACTTGCTTAGTATGTACACCTATCTATACCATAACTTGATACTGACAACACACTTGACTTACCATATGGACGTTTACATATGTACGGCTGGTGTCGGTCACATGACAAATCATTCCACATTCCTACTCTGGAATATCTACTGACTAGGCTGACACAGTCCTCACCTGATCCAGCCTCGTTTGGTTCACCAGGGGCCCAGTTTGTAAATGATAACTGCCAAAGAGAATTTGAGTAAAAGACATAGTAACAAAAAATATGAGTAAAATATAGTGAAGAAAGAGGCGAAATCTAAACGTTTTTTTGAAGTAGCTTTGCATAAGATTCAAACACATTTCCAATTATTTTAATATAAATTGTACTCTTGATTTAAAAATCTAAACATACATCTTGCACATATACAATAAAATTCCACAGAACAGATCTACATAAAAACATAAAAACTAATTTCTTTTTAAATATAGACTATTCTACATATAATACTTATTAGTACAGTAATTAACATTTCATTATATCCTAAACACTTCAAAGTATTCCTACTGTATAACATTTAACACTTAATTAAAATGATGTTTTGAGAAAAATGGTTTTCCACACTTTACCACCAAAATTGTATACTTAATCTTTTGCATTTTCACACAAGACACTCAAGCCAACCGAATGTTTTCAACATAACAACTGTGAATAATGTTGCTGCCAAGGTATCGAGCAAATCAAATTCTTCAGTTTACAACAAATTTAATAAATCCTTACTGATGACCCATCAATCCATTCAAATTTTCCTTTTGTTGCAGTGTCGTGAAGACCAATCCACATCTCGGCCCTCAAAATATCTGCACGGACTGAAAAATAAACAAACTCACATGGCTGAGTGCAAACACAGGTTAATGAGAAATGCTGATAATATACAATATTGTTTATTTACTTTAATATGTCTATTATAATGGTTAATCCATCCACTATAAACATGGTGAGTTAATTCTCATGGGTCCTCTTAATAACAATTTAGTAAATGTTATTTTTTTTTAATGCTTCATAGCATGCATCTTTATACAATTGATTCTTTGGGAACAAAAAACAATGGCGTCATGACCATATTTAGGCATGTCGCATGTTTTTGTCGCATAAAATTTCATGGTCTTTTGTCAGCAATGGCGGCGCCAGCGGGCGGCTTAAGCCCACCATCGGTCTGCTCAAGCCCCCCCCCCATCGGCCAAAGCTTGTCGGGCAGTCGGACCAAAAAAAAAATAGGCCTAGTTTTCCCATCCCAGTCATTTCCAGCCATCTAGAAGTCCCAATTTTAAATAAATCTTGTTTTTGGAGGGGACACCCCCCTCCCTAACCCACCCCTGGTTCTGGTGTTCAGCCCTCAGATAACGCTGCATGCTATAGTTACACCTATAACCCAGTCGGACATCTTAGCGCCCCCCCCCCCCAATAAATTATATCCTGGAGCCACCACTGCTTGTCAGGGCTTAAGAAAGGTTGCCATACCCGAGATAAAATCTTGCTCCTCTTGGCTGGTAATTGTCACTAATGTTCCACCTTCTTTGGCACATAAACCCTCTGCATCCCAATAACGTTGAAAGTCAGTGGGTTTGAAAAGGTAGCAATAACTACCATGTGCCTGCCAATCACCTGTGCAGGAGTGAACACCTGTGATAGATTGGAACGAAAACACACAAAAAAAAAATACCATTGAAATTCATTGAAATTATAAAAATAAATTTTTGTTTTCGAAAATAAATCAAATAAATTTTATTCTAAATTTAACCATCATCATCATCATTAATTAAATATAGAATTGATATAGCGCTCTTTACCAGAGACTCGCATGCTTTTTTCCTTGTCACTGGATACAGAATCAATCATACACACCGTGCAACCTTCTCTGCTTCCTGGGGAGTATTCCTAGTTATTCGTGTAATCAGCACTACTAATTTCATTCCGAACCATTCATCTCCTACCTAGCACCCATTACTCTGGGTGAAGAGAGGCAAATGCAGATATAGTGCCTTGCCCAAGGACACAAGCAGTGTGATGAGCATCAGTCTCCTTACATACTGTGCCACCACACTTCCACCTAATCAATATCAAACTCTGTCATCTTTGATGTAAAATCAATCAATCAATCAATGATCAACCAATCAATGTATAATTTTAATGTCAGAATAAACATTTCAGACAATAAGATTGTACTAAACCAGAGATCCAAGTATTTGATGGTTCTGCTCCAATACAATGACTACAGTACCGATCTCTACAAGTGCTGCCTCAGCTCTTGTGACATCTTACCTTCATCTGCTACAAGGTTCGTCACTGCTCTTCCTGCTTGGATTTTACAAATGAATGCTTGCTCATAGTTACAATCAATGGTATTCCAAAGTGCAGCATTATTTCCTGAATGTAGAAAGTAAATAAAAATTACAAAACAGAAACCAAAGCATTAAAACTGACTGTTTACCGACCAGAATGGAATGATTTGGCAACATAGTTTGTTAATACCTGTGCCATATATTTTTGTATGGGCATATTTCAGCATATATTTTGTGAATGTTAAGATCAATTCAGACAGCGTCGTACAACGTAACCCAATGCAATTTGTTCTCGCGTCAGGTCTGCGTCAGTTAAACACAGACACAATGTCTTGCATTGGGGAATATCTCACAACGGCTTAAGACTGCCCCCGACTTTTCATTGTATACCTGTGTTTATGCTACCACAGTCCACCTGGTTTGGTCGATCTGTTGGGTTGTCAATGTTCCAACTGGTGTATCCTAAGTCAACATCCTGGACCCACTGGAAATTTCCATCTTGCTTTGAATCTGCAGAAAATAAGGAAGAAAGTATGTCAGTGAGAAGTAGATCACAAAATAAAACTTATTTTGCACTTAATAAAAAAAATCCCAGACTAGCTACAGACAGGGCAGGCTTTTGAGGGTCTGTCAAAGTATGGTATCAATATCAATATACAATGGTTGGTAATTGAACAATTTCAATTCAATCCTTTCATCATTCATCATCAAATCAGTTCCCAAATAAAACTATAAAAATATCCAGAAGTGGATAAAAGATAAAAAAGACCTTTATGAGATGAGACAGAAGACCTGGATGTAGTAAAATTGTTTTATACAACTGAACCTAATCTAACATTAAAAATTAAGAAGTTAAAAAGCAAGCAAACATTGACCAAGGACAAAGTTTAAGGCAAGACAATACTATAAAATTTATAACATTATAATATATTCATAAAATTTATGATAAAAATTCATAAACATTATGATGAAATTGATGAAGTAATAAAAAGACAAAGGTTGGATTGGTTGGATTTATTTGGTGTAAACACCAAGGATAGCCCACGAAAGTCTAGAAGAATACTTATTTCCAGTGGGGTCCTTATGGTGATGATTACACCGGGAGACAATCCCCTACTCTTTTCCGAAGAGTTTACTGTATTGCATTCTTTAATTTGCACAAGACCATAAATGCACACGGGACCAACGGCCTAAACGTCTCATCCGAAAGAAGGTGCGCCATTGTAACTTGTATTTCAGCCCTCTAGCTGAAACACAAGGAGAGACAGCGATGGGAATTGAACCAGGGACTTGGGAGATCTCCACGGTTCAGCACTAACACAGTGGCTGCCACCAGATTAGCCGACTGACCTAAGCTGCTTTCTCTAAATAAATAATTATTTCATTAATAAATTAGGGTATTCTTTTACATGTTCTTCCTAACGTTTCCTTTTCCTTTTGATGTACCTAAAACAAAATACTCAAAATCCCCTCATATCGCCTTATCTTCCCTGTGAGTTCCCCCACACTTAATACTTTGTTTCACAACTTAGACACAACACTGTCATTACCTGATAGCCCAAACCAGACATTATGTCTCACATTCATCCAGAATTCAGTAAACAGAGTTGCAATAAAGAGATTTTCTCCTTCGCTGTAATGACAACATGTCAAGGGTCAACATCAACAACTTACATTTACAGAAAGTAAAAGGCATCCAGATGCACTATAAAAAAATATTATTCTTGAAGTAACAATTACTAATAATTATATTGTATGAATAAAAAAAATAATAATAATGAGGATACTAATAACAACAAAAACCATAATAAAAATAATAAATTATAATTATTATAATAACATTAGTATTATCTTAACAGATAAGTACCTGGTGATTGTAGCTAAGTAGCCACCCTGGGCCTCACAGAAACTCTTTGCATCAGCCCATCTCCTCTTATTCATGTCGCATTGGTAACACTGTCCATTGTAGTATTTCCATCCAGCAGAGCAGGCTCCTAAAACAGAAACAGAAGCAACCAGTGTGTGACAAAAGACTATTTGTACCTGGTACAATTTTGAAAAATTAAGGGGGACTCTGGGCCGACTGGGGCCCCTCCACCTTGAATCCGCCACTGCCTTATTTCATCAACATCTAAATACAATGGAACTACTGAAGCTTAAAGTACTCACTGCTATTTCCAAGTTCGAAATAAAATTTAATCTGAATCTTACCTTCTTTAGCTTCACACATGTAGTTTTTTGCCTGGTAACAAGGAGCAGTCACCCACAAGCCATCACTTGAACTATCATAGCTTTGTATCTGTACACAATCTCCACCACCATCAAAGTACCTAAATCAAGAACATGTAGTAAATAAATAATTTATGAGAATAACTTATCTAACCCAAGATGAAGGCCCTTATACAAAATATATTCACTCTTAGTAACTTTTATATGATAATAATGTTGATAATGTATGATGGCAGTAATGGCAAAGGTGTTGACAACATATGAAGTGAAGGTGATATCATTGACGTAGAATGTATAGCTACCTTGTATCAGGCTGGTTGTCATCCCATTTTAAATAGTCTGTAGGGCTCCTATCAGTCCAGTAGAATGAACCAGCAATAGACTCCTGTTGTGAAAAACCACAAAGAATGCAGTGCACATATTAATGACAATTCTTATTATATAATATATACAGTACTTTGAAAATGGGGTTCATTTTTCTAATCTCATCATATACTGGATATAAATAATATTATATACATTTTCAAATTTACATTGGCCTGTACATATAGTTACCAATTGAATGATTGGTTGATTAATTTATTGATTGGTTCACTCATTCTACCACAATTAGTATATCTTTAATCATTTATTTATTTATTTATTAAATATTTATTATTCCAATAAATCAAATATAAGTAATTATGTAAGTAAATATAACAAATACATATACCAATACACAAACACATATAAATAAATAAACCTAATAATAAATATAATTCATCCATATAAATTCAATCATTTGATGATTTTACCTAATTTATATATTTATTCCAATAATGAATATAAATATGCTAAAAAAACATTGATGCTTACCCTATCTGTCAAACCTATCCACATCCCTGTACCCTTGAACTGCTGGAGAATATCATTCACAAAGTTCTGTTCATCTTGTGAACCGATGCTAACAAGGTTTCCATTGAGTAATGTGCAGAAAGTTTCAGCCTCTGTCCAGGTCTGAAGCTCAACACTTCTCCAAAGGTAGCACTTGTTGTTATAGTTGATCCAGCCATTGTTCTCATCACATTCAACATCCACATCTATGTTATAACAATATTATGTTCATTCATATTTAGTTGTTGTTTTCACTTTTGGTGTGAAAAAAGTTGTATTACCATGACAGGAATTGAACCCAGAACATTGGACTGGAAAGCAAGCACCTTAACCACCAAGCTATTCAACTCTACTCAAAATTAAATAATCCACTTTTTTCATCTCCAAATATAAAATGTTAATATAGAGAGAAGAATATATTTAAAGAGTGCTATCACATGTATGAGAGAATATCTGGACTCCCCAATGATTAGGCAAAATATGAAGCAAAAACAGTAAGGCAAGAAGTAAATGATTACAGATAATATAGTAGATGCTTACATTCTCTACAAAAAAACAAATTGGAAACAAACTCTTAAAATTTCTGCTAAATTATTAATTGAAACTTACAGTTTTTGGAGCAAATATACGGTTGTGGAGTAACACAAGTTTCATCATTCCACTGGCCATTCTTTTTTGTGTTTATCTCTCCACAATCTTCACCTCTACGATAATCATTAGGCTCTCCTGGCAACCAATTACTTTAATTAGAACACAATGATTATAGCCAAATGTAGACAAAGTAATGTATAATAAAAAAGCATATGGATAAAAATGTGCGTACAGAAACAACCATCAATGAAAATCTGGAATCTGCTGAAAATTGTCCTCAACTAATGTCAATACCAGTTTTGTCATATCTCTTTATCTTAAAAGTACACAAGGGTCATCAACTATTTATGTAGCTCAACACAGGGGTGGTGCCAGTGGGGTGTAGGAGGAGGGCAGGTGCAACCGCTGGCTCAGCATGATATTGTTCAAGGTTCTGTGTTAAGTTCTTCACAGTCCTCGCCACGATTGGTGTTATTTGATTCACTTAACAGAACTGTACTAATTATTTTATCAATTACTGATGTCTACAACTTATTTATGTAAAATAAATAATCAATTCAAATACAGAATTGCATTTTTAAAATATTACATGAGTTTTTGGCTTAAGTCAGTATAGTTTAAGATATATTATATTGCAGATAAATAAATAAATATATTTGAATTGAATTATATAATGTTAAAGAAGTTCTAGGCTTACTTACGCTTTTGTGGGATCTAGAGGAGTGTTGTCCACCCAGAGGAAGTTGCCCTCTCCCTTTTTGTCCTGAAGACCTATCCAGTACAATTTTCGAGTAAACCCAAGAAGATCTTGCAAAAATTGCTGCAGAAAGGTAATTTATTTATTTTCCATTCATCAGAATAGCTTTTAGGTGAAAATTTTATACAGTACTTATATGTTGATGAATATTTATATTTCAATAAAATTGAATGAATTTTATATTTGTTCATTGAACTTCATTCGAAATAATCATTATTTGCAAGAAGTGGTTTTGCAAAACAAGTTATGAAAGTCATGTTTTACAGCAGAATTATTCTGTGAGAATTATTCTGTGAGATCTCACAGCATTTACAATAGCAGTTGCGGATCCAGAAATCAAAATAGAGGGGGCCTGGGGAGGTACTTTCAGATGGAGGATCTATACCACCTCAGCCCTACCATAGTTAGTAAAATAAAATTGTGATTATGGCACCTCTAGATGGCTGGAAATTGCACTCTCAGGCTTAAAATTTTAATAAATCTCCATTTTGTTTAAAATTTTGAACAATTTAGGGGGGGGGGGCCTGGGCTGACTCCCCCCCCCCACAACCATAAATCCGCCTCTGAATATAATGCTGAATAGAATGCAATATCAATAATAAATAACAAAAGCAAAATAACACTGAATATATATTATATTATGGGCTTTTGTGAAATATAATTTTCTAGGATACAGTATTGGCCCTTGATGGCATTTGTAGCACTGAATAAAATTAAAATTAAAATTATAACATGTACAAAAAGTTATAAAAATAATTAAAATTTGGGAAGGATTTTGGGACACAATTGTGGCTGAAAAAATGTATTGCCTCCCAATTAATTTAAGCATGTTTCTGAATACTGTCAACTGTACATGAGAAATCAATATATTTATTGCAGACTTTTAAAAGTTTTAGAAGTATGTAAATGTTAAATTTCTATTTTAATTGGTAAACAATGTTGTATAGAAATAGTGGCCTACTGTTGGCACATATATTTTCCCTTTCTTGTGTTTATGTTTATGTTTTCAACTGTATTTTACGTTCAGAACTAATGAAAAAATATGGAGATAAAAAGATTAATTTCATTATACTAACATTTGCCTCGTTGTTCCTGATAATTGCCAAGTCAGCATCCATGTCCTTGCACGTGTCTCGAGCCGTACTCCATGGTACCAATGCTTGGGATGCAAAGTAACATGTGTTCCCAAATTGTTGCCAATCTTTTCCGCATCCTTGGCTACATACTGGACAAGAAAAAAAAAACTTCGACAACAGGATTCATAACAATGGCAAACAAAAGGCAAGGTCGAGAAATCTTAGCCATAATACAATATTGTAATAATATTTTAAGTGCATTTATTTTTCACTTAACTTACAATCAACAATTGTTTTTACATAATTATATTCATTTAGATAGTATTTAATGCCTACAAAATTTAAGCAAATGAGCATATGACTGAAAAAAATATAAAAACTTAACTTACCACACCCAGCAAGGACAGAAAAAATAATGATTCTTATGATCATGATGCTGTAAAATTCTATATATTCTGTTGCAACAGCCAAGAAACTTTGAGCGCTTAGGCCTCAAGGTTCGCAAAGAACCAATCCACAGAGTTCAGAAAACAAGGGTTAGAATATTTAGTATAGAGTCATCAGATATGGGGGATAGGAGCTGATAAGGTCTGATTAGAGAAACCTCGGTATATACACAGTACGGCACCAATAGGTACAAAGCACTGTGATAAGCTACATATTGATATTTTGAGCTAACTGGATGGGTTGTATTAGTATGACCCCTTTAACTATAGTGATACAGGCCTACCTAATATTATAGGCCTCATATTTTTTACCATGTAGATATATGATTGCCACATAAATCAGGGCATTATCCAGATTTGAAAAAGTGTATTGGGGTGCTGTGTTAAAATGTTAGAAGTGGGGTTTGGGAATCTTGCTTCTTAGAAAAGAGGATAGCAAATTTAAAGATATCTCACTAAACCCTGCATTTTATAGGGGAAAGCAACTTGATGTAATAGAAGGGACCAGATATAACCATGGTTCAGGGTGCACACAGTACTTTAGGATCCAAATATGTAAAATGATATAACATCCATTTGGAGGTCAATTATTATTTGTACAAAATTTAAAAAAAGACTATTTACACAACCAAATTATTATCAACGGATTGATTCTGGTGGTTGCTTGCTTATCTACGCTTATCTACTTAAATGTATCAAGGGTACTGGATATCCGCCCCCTCTGATATATTTAAATGATACATTGCTACCATAACTAATGTTTTGCATTGGCAATTAATAAGGTAGTTTGGGTTAATAATCCTGGAACAATGAGGTGCAACAGTACCAAGTATCTATAGGAAAAACAGAACCCATTGATGATTTCGGTTGTCTGTAAGGAGCCTAGATAAACCTACAATAATTATTGGAAAAACAGTGTAAAATATATTGATCTAGAAAGATAAGTTTAAGTATTCAATGGTCGGATGTTTAAACTTCTGATACTTTGAGAAAGACTGAGCTGCCTTCAGGGAAGAGCCTCTGAAGAGGACTTAATTAATGAATATAAAGTAAAATAATATTGAATGATCTGATGATTTGACTGAGCCATTTAAAGTGAGGAGAATGAAAGTGTAGTCTCTGTAAGAACAAGTAAAATAGTATAATATCCTTATAATTTGACTCATTTTCTTGATTCAGCTATGGGTTGAATGAAGATAGCCTATCAACAATGCTCAGTCTGCATTGAAACATCAGTACACTTAAAAATATTATTTCACCAACACAGCCTATGAAATAGATTTACTAGGCAAATTGCCTACAGTAGAAGGTAGCTATCATATGCTAGTGCTTGTATCAAGTAATAACTAAACTATTTAATAATAATAATAATAATGTCATTTTGTTAGGCGCACGTATCCATCCCTAGTAGGGGTGCTCGCGGCGCCGTTTTCCACCTGCCGGGTGTACATGTAGCAATTTCCGCATTATTATGTGAATTAATTAATTTAATTATTTATTTACTTACTTACTTACTTACTTTCACTTACTTTTACTTATTTTCATCACCATCATCAACACCACCATCCTCATAGTCACACTTACAGAGAGCTTATAATCAGACTTGATAGTATAGCACCTGCTTTAGAACTGATGAGACGAAGCATGTATGTTTGCAAGTCAGCTGGAAGTCGGACAACACTCCACTTCACCGAAATGCGATCAAACATTGTCTGGCAGACTGACAGACAAAAATAACTGTGATATGCCCATAATTGGGTGTGATATGCCCATAATTGGCTGTGATATGACATCATCATGCCTATATATGTTGTGTACAGAGCTTAGGGCTTAGTTCCAAAAGCAGTGCAGTAAAGTAAAAGTATTTAAAAAAAAAATTTGCAACAGAAAACAAATTGATAAAATCACAAATAAAAACTGTTCATTAATAAAGTACCGTATATGGTAAAAGTGTTTAAAAATGAAAAAAAAAATGAAAGTGATGGTGAATTCTAAAATTAATAAACAAACTATAGACTTACTCTAGACCTGTCTCTTATACACATCTAGATGTGTATAAGAGACAGATATTCAATAATTCAATTTATACCAAAACAAACTGCCATCCCACATAAACAAAACTGAAGGCAGCACATCCTTGTAGGAGGGCTGTGTGGATTAACTGTGTGGATTCACTGAAGGCAGCACATCCTTGTGGATGGGCTGTGTGGATTAAAATCGAACAATAATATTGAAGTTACAGAAAGTGTTGAATAAAACCCAAACCAGAACTTTCCAATGAACTGTATATTTGATCAGATTTTCATGTAGAATGCAAGATCCATTGCCGACATAGAAGATATTGGGTTTGAATATCATGTGAAAATGAATAAATTCACTATTTCACTATATCTAGGATCGGGAGGGGAAGGGTAACCTATTTTTTTTTATTCACTTAGGTATATGGGCCAAGAATTTCCAATAATTATCATCATCACTGACATAATTATTTTATAAATGGCAATCTCTTTCACAAGGCCAATATATACACATGATGCTCTACATATTAACTAGGTCTCATTAAGAGGTTTGGGCAGTGGGTGTCTTTGGAAAACTCAGGACACCAGGATTGGAAGGCAAGCATCTTAAGCACTGAGCCACAGGTCAAATCATAAAAATGTATCCCACAGGGATCAAATAAATTTTAAGCACAAACTCTTAAGGCTTATTGAGGTATAAAACCGGGAACACTAACTCATAAATGTACGATAAGATTTCAAAATTTCATTCATATATTGATCTCAACTGTTGGTACTGATATTCTAGCACATGGGGGCGCTCTAACATATCAGATACAGTATTAACAATTTTTTGTTTGACTGTTTAAAACAAAATTTGTCTAAGTTATTACTGTATTTAAGAAATGTGTAATCCTTAACTAGCAAATGGCATAAATCTACACTTTACTTTTTAATGTGCATAATAACAATTTTCTGAAATTATTATTATAACTGTTACATATAACAATTTACTGACTTGGATCAGCCCACTTTGAAGTAAACGTGTGATTATACACAGAACTATTCTAACGTTTTGTGTGCTTGAGATGTGAAACCGACAGATTCTGCTTTCTCATGAAAACATAGGTAATTTAATAGCAAATTTACATATGGCCTCTTAATACATAATACAATGCAATTTTGTAAAATCCACAATATTATGCATTAAATCCTTATGCTTTTTATTATTACAGTAAAACTGAATAATCTTGTTTTTACAACATAAATATGTTTTGTGGATAAATAAATAAAATATGGTTGAATGCATTTTGAATGGACATTAGCCCATTTTTACTGTAAATGCTCAACAGACTTAGCAACACTGATAAGTCTTGAAAGTTGCACATTAAGTTTTACTGCAAGTGTTAAATAAATGTGAACAATCAAGCCACAGAATTAAGTTTACAAACATGCACATGGAACATAGGTTAGATGAGAGGTGGTGGTTTCACCGCATTAGACTGTCTGCCTCTATATCCGCAGCATTTGCTTTGATGTCTGTTAATGTCCGGACAAATCTTGACCATTCGTCCATTCGCGGAGTTGCGAAACTCTGAAAAAAAACCCCAAAATTTATTATATTGTTTATGCTTACGTAGATACATCCTGCAAAGGACCTAATGGTCCATTAATGCAAGTAACAGGAGCTGTATGGACAAGTACACTGGGGTAACTCCCTACTCGTCTCCACAGATATACTGGGTCTTTAAAGCGCACATGAGGCAATTGTGTACACTGGGCCTATGGTTTATAGTCCTTATCCGAGAACCAACACCAATATTATGGCTGTAGGTTGTGGCACCCCTGCATTAACTGCTCGTCCATTCAACTCAAAAAGGTGAAACGTAGAACATAAAACAACACAATCACACAACAGTAAGAAATAACCAAAGCAATATTACAAGATATTTGAGCTGAATACAACATATGTAGTGAATCTCATGGCAGTAACAAGAATTTGTTTCACTACAAAAACAATATATAGACAATATCATTGTTAAAAGTTTTCAAAATGTACCTCTCCTACATCGTATATCCATATACGGCCGTCAGCGTCACCAGCCGCTATTTGGTAGCCAGAGTGTGCCCAGCGTACCCTGTTGATTGCTGGTTGAGAGTCTAACGCTGTCTCTTATACACATCTAGATGTGTATAAGAGACAGACTGAAGGCAGCACATCCTTGTGGATGGGCTGTGTGGATTAAAATCGAACAATAATATTGAAGTTACAGAAAGTGTTGAATAAAACCCAAACCAGAACTTTCCAATGAACTGTATATTTGATCAGATTTTCATGTAGAATGCAAGATCCATTGCCGACATAGAAGATATTGGGTTTGAATATCATGTGAAAATGAATAAATTCACTATTTCACTATATCTAGGATCGGGAGGGGAAGGGTAACCTATTTTTTTTTATTCACTTAGGTATATGGGCCAAGAATTTCCAATAATTATCATCATCACTGACATAATTATTTTATAAATGGCAATCTCTTTCACAAGGCCAATATATACACATGATGCTCTACATATTAACTAGGTCTCATTAAGAGGTTTGGGCAGTGGGTGTCTTTGGAAAACC